TTTTTTTTTTTTTGCGGTACGCGGGCCTCTCACTGTCGTGGCCTCTCCCGTTGCGGAGCACAGGCTCCGGACGCGCAGGCTCAGCGGCCACGGCTCACAGGCCCAGCCGCTCCACGGCATGTGGGATCCTCCCGGACCGGGGCACGAACCCCTGTCCCCTGCATCGGCAGGCGGACTCCCAACCACTGCGCCACCAGGGAAGCCCCGGGGCTCACTTTAAATGCCGCCTCCTCTGAGAGGCCCCCTCTGACGCCCTAACTCCGTGGCTCCATCTCTGTATCTATTATATCGGGTTTATTTTCTTAACACACAGCACTCTTTTCTATTTGCTTTTGTTTGCTGGGGCGGGGGGGTATTACCTGCCTCTCCTCTAGATTGAAAGTTACATGTAGGCAGGAACCCTGTATGTTTTGGTCACCACCATATTCCCAGTGTCTGGCACAGAGCCTGGCACACAGCAGGTCCTCAAAAATTATATGCAGAATGGATGAATGAATGAATTGGCATCTCACGGGTATTTTAGCTGTTTAGAGCCCCTATCTACAGCCCGGTTTGTCTCTTGGGGATTCACCTGGGCCTAGGTCCCCTCCCTGGAGCTCAGATGACCTCATCTCCTTGGGAGGGGAATGGGCAGTAACGACTCCAGGTGGAGTGGTGAGCTCAGCCGGGACATCGGGGACAGATGCCATTGGAAGTGAACATCCTTGTGGTTACAACCTGGGGTGCTGGAGTCAGCAAGGTTCCAATTCCTACAACTCATTCATCCTTACCGGTGGTGTTGTTTTCTTTAGAAAAATCACGTCACCTGTCTGAGCCTTAGCTTCCTTACCTGTGAGACAGATCTAGAAACATCTATTCATGGGGTTCTTATAAATATTAAAACAAGACAGTGACAGCAAAGCACCAAGAGGCATGATGGCTGTGGAGCCAAAGCTGACGCCCCACGGCAGCATCATAAAGGGTGAAACCCACAAAGCCTGGCACGGCCAGGTGGGCCTATTACAGTCTATCTTCTGAGCTGGAGTCACGCCATCAACTGATGAGATCATTGCTATTTGTTAGCTCAAAATGATGGAATTTTCTGTTCGATGACCCACAGAGGGCATCTGCCCCCTTTTTGGGGGGGGAAAGCTGACTCTGAGAACAACAAAAAGGCTCGATCAACTCCGTCAGCAAGAGGTCTAGAAGCTGAAGCTGGAAGCCAGGCCTCCCCTGCTGTGGGCACCCATGGAAACCCTGCTTGTCCCAGGAGCCACCTTCGTGGTGGGCTCAGCAAGATGCGGGCCACTCACCTGCAGGCTGAGGCCCCGGGAAGAGAAGGCGGGGATGCAGCAGGCCAGGATTGGGCACCAGAATGGGGCTTTGCTCTTCTTGTCCTCATCCGGACACAGCCAGCCCGGCTGGTTCTCCTCCCCTGCGGCAAGAGGAAGGAGGTGGGAGGAGCTGGTCAGAGAGCGAGGACCAAGAGGACTTCCTGAAAGCCCAGGAAGCCACCGCGGGCCCCAGAGGCCTGGCCCGCATGCCCCACGGACCCAGCCAGCCGCTCCCCCAGCCCCACACCTGCCCAGTGAGATGAAATCCAGCCTCACTCTACGGTCACAGCCATGGGTCCCAGGCTGGGAGTCGGGAAACCTAAGGCTTCAGTCCCAGCTCGCCCACCTTCTCACTGAGCAGCCTTGTGCAAATCCGCCCAACTCTGAGCCTCGATTTCTTCATCTATGAAATAGGGACGATGAAGATGCCTTCATCCTGCAGTTGCTGTGAGGATCCAGTGAAATAGCACATGTGACAGGGTTTCAAAAGGCATTAAGACACTGGGCACGGTCCAGGCCCCTGCTACCTTGACCTTATCTTCTAGAGGCGGGAGGCGGCCAAAAACAAGCAGGCGGACAAGAAGCTTTTGCCTTGTGACAGCGCAGCCATGACACTTTTATACCTGTGATGATGATGGTCAAGAGGAAGACTCTCTCTCCTGCTCCCTTTAAGACCTACCCTGAAACCTAGGAGGTCACCTGCCTCCAGGTCCCCCAGGCGAGCTGGCATCGAAGCCCCTGGCAGCCTGTTAGAAGTGCACGTGCTGGGCTTTCCTGGTGGCGCAATGGTTAAGAAGCCGCCTGCCGGTGCAGGGGACACGGGTTGGAGCCCTGATCCGAGAAGGCCCCACATGCCGTGGAGCTACTAAGCCCACGCACCACAACTACTGAGCCTGCGCTCCAGAGTCCACGAGCCACAACTACTGAAACCCGCACGCCTAGAGCCCGTGCTCCGCAACAAGCGAAGCCACCGCAACGAGAAGCCCGCGCACCGCAACGAAGAGTAGCCCCCGCTCGCCGCAACTAGAGAAAGCCTGCGCACAGCAGCAGACCCAATGCAGCCAAAAATAAATAAATTTATAAATTAAAAAAAAAAAAAAAAAGGAAGTGCACATGCTGCTCAGGCCCAAGCCAAGCCTGGACCCTGGACCCTCACCTGGAGACTGCTGCGCTCAAGTGCATCTGCTCAGCCACATTCTCTGTGGAGTCTCCTTCACATGGGTCTAGGCTCCCTCACACGCCACCACCTCCAAGAAGTCCTCCCTGACCACCCTGGCTACAATGGCCCCCTTCTCTCAGAAACCACACTAAACACCCTGTCTTATTTCCCATACAGCTTTCACAATCAAAAATCATGTTTTCTGTTTCCTTGCTTACGGTCTGTCTCTATATGTCTGTAGAATGTAAGGTCAAAACAGTAGGGATCTGGGTTGTCTTGTCCGCCACTATCTCTCTGGCACCCAGCACGCTGCCCACACATAGTAAGTGCTCAGCGAACATGGGTTGAAAGAATGAACGAGTGAGCAAGTGAGTAAACCACCATCTCTCCTGAGGAACTCTCCCTGCTAAGAAACCCATATTCTTTATACTCCATCTGATGCCTGCCCTCCGGGGATCCCATGACGGCAGGGGCAGGGCGCAGCTCAGACACGCCCAGTATGTGTCCAGGCGTCAGGCACACTGAGTGCTTTACATATGCTCACTGGCTGGTTTTCACAATGACCAAGCACAGTCAGAATAACGATTTTCACCTTACAGATGATGAGACTGACAATTAAGTAAGTAAGTCACGTGCACGGCTAGACGGCAAAACCCACATGTGGACCTAGGTCTGTCTGACTGACAGGCTGAGTTCTTTGCACTAAACCAGGCAATCTTCCAGCAATCAGACCCCCAGTGACACCCCTGGGCATGAATGACCCTGGACATGGTGACACTAGACAATGAGGAGGTACTCTGCCCCGAAGAGCCAGAGGCACTGGACAGGGCACCCCAGGTGAGAGGGGCCACTTAACGCAATGACGTCAAGATGAGGGGTGCCTAGAGCTTTGGAGATGGGAGGAGAGGTCACCAATCAAAGGGTCCAACAGCAGCCTTCCCCCCCACCACCACACACATCTACTCAGCTACAAGGAGGGAGGGTCAGCTCAGCCCAAGGGTGCCCCGCCGCCACATGGGGACCTCCTGACCAGTCTTTCTGTGCTCACTACTGCCCCCTACAGTTGGTCCTCCCCACAGCAGCCAGAGCCATCCTGCTAAACTTCCCCTGGACCTCGTTGTTCCCCTGCTTAAAAATGCCTACTGAGTCCCCGACCAGTTGGAATAAAATCCAAATTCTTCCACAAGAGCTGCAAGGACCCTCCTTCCCTCTCAGCCTCATCCCTCGGCTGCAGGCTCCACCATGCTACGCTTTCCTCAGCAACTTAAACGGGACGAGCCCGGAAAGCTCCCTCTGCCTGGAAGGCTGCACTCAGCTCTCTCCAGGGCTGGCTCTGCTCCTCTGCGAGGCTTAGGTTACGCCTCCACCTTCTCGGAAAGGCCTTAACTCACCATCATCCCATCCCCCACCTCCATCACTTTCTGTCTCAGCCCCTATTGGTGTGTGTAATGGCCCTGACCACAATTTCCAGCTCTTTTACTGGCTTGTCTCTTTTTTCCTCCGTGTGTGTGTGTGCGCCCGCGCGTGCGCGAGTGCACATGTATATGTGCGTGCGTGTGCACATGTGAGTGTTTCATCGTGCTTGTGTGCCCAGAGGCTCCCCTACAACGCCCACGTTCCATGACGGCTGAAACCTTCCACACCGTCTCCTTCCGTACCCTCCAAACCCCTCACATGGCGCTGGACACACAGCAGACCACCAACACCCTTGTGTGGCATGAACACAGTCTCTTCCTGGAGCCTCATTTTCCAGATTTGTCAAATCGGAATGATGGCCACCAAGAGCAGTCACCACCCCCAACCCCCGGCCAGCACAGAGCAACACTGCAGAAATATGGTCAACTGTGGGTGGGGGGAACAGGAGGAACCAATCCAAGGGTACGAAGCTTTGCTTTTACAAGGTGAGTGAATCCTAGAGATTATCTGTACAACCTATAGCTAACAATTCTGTATGACGTGCTTAAAGATTGGCTAAGAGGATAGATCTGACGTTAAGTGGGCTTATCACACACAGAAAAAATAACAATAATAAGGAAGAGGGCAGGAGGGAGCTTTTCAGAGCGTGGGTTTGTTTATGGCATAGACTGTGGCGATGGAGTGCACAGGGGTATGCTTACCTCCAAAGCCATCAAGCTGTATTCTTGAAATATGGATAGCTCTTTGTATGTCAATCACACCGCAATAAAGGGGCTTTAAAAATGCCGTTTAGGTCTGCGTGTAGGTCACAGCAGAAAGGAGCCGGAATGCGGGGGCAGGTGCGGAGGCTCTTTGAGAAGATGAAGACATCCGCAAATGTCAGAAATTATTTTGTGAACAGCTGGCTCCGCAGAGGCTCCGGTGCCTGCCCCACCCCCTCAAGCAGTGGAGGCGCGGGACAGGGAGCTCACTCCCTAAACGGGCCAGAGGCATCCCTGGTGTCAGGCCCTCTGCCCCACTGAGCCCTGGAGACAGAGTCGCATGAAACCTGGGTCCTGCCGCCGAGGAGAGGCCATCAAGGAAAGTACAACGATGGCACGGGATGGGCATCACCGAAACAGAACGGCTGTGCGCGCCGCACTTCACAGTTTACAAAGCTCTGTCCCGCAAGTCATCCCACAGCCACCAGGGGCAGTCGGAGTTCCCATCCCCGTCTACACTGGGGAAACGGAGGTCGGGGAGTCAAAGACAGGGTCCAGGAGCCAAGCAACTAACCTCTGCGGCACCTTGCACAGTGCCCGCGGCACGGCCGTGACAGCCGAGACAAGCCCACCCGCCCTAGGGGACACCACTTCTCCTTGGCAGGAGCTCACATCGCAGCCACCGCGCTGCCTCTTGGACAAGGCTCCGGGCAGTGAACAAAGATGATTGAGATTGGAGAGTCTGGCCCTGCTCTCAAAGAGCTTACAGTCACACAGACCCTCGCCTCCCCAGGGGTAGGAGCCCGAGAGAGCAGTCAAGCCCACCTGCTCGCCTGGAGCTCAGCGGGTGGAGATAAGCCCCCGTGCCCGCCCGTCACCACGTCGCCCCGAGCTCATCCCTCTCCTCCCGCCACGCACACACAGCCCATCAAGTCCTGACAATTTATCACTATACGTTCCTTTAATGATCTGACCTTCTGGTTTCAGATGGTGCCTTCCCTGCCTGCGACTGGGAACGTTAAAAGAAACTGGAGTTGTTGTTCCCCATCTGCCACTGCCATTGTTCCCCTCACAAAACTAGAGCGGCTGAGACCACGTTAGAAGGCTGTTACCACTGGAAATTGAAAGCCCGCTTGGGATAAGTGACGTTAAGCACAGGCACCAGGGGCAAAGCTGCGATTTCCAACTGACGTTAAGTGGGGGCTTATTTAGCCTCCAGCTCTGTTTGCCAGCACCCACCAAACTCGAGAGTACTCCAGGGGGCAGTGGGAGCAGCTCCAGGGCCGGAGCCCACGTCCCCGCTCGCTCCCCCCACCCCCTGAGCCCTCAGGACCACCCGCCGGCTGCAGGAAGCCGACTCTGCCAGAAGGGCCCTGCGGGGTACAGAGCTGGACACTTAACCTCTCCTAGCCTGGGGCCTCGTCTGGAAAATGGGGGAAATAATTCCAACCATTTGGAGTTGTTGTGAGCACTGGAAAGACTATATTTAGTACCTAGTGTACACCAGGCACTCAAGGAATAGTACCCGTTATGACCACCGTCCTCACGGTTGAAAAGCTGCCGCTTACTGTGCCTGAGGTCAGACCACCCACCGCCGCTGGGCTGAGCCCACCACCTGCGCTGGCCCTGCCCTGCTTCTCCCGCCCCGCCTGCCTCCCAAACGCCTCCTGAGTCCCAGCATCACGCCCTTCCTGCCACTGCTGCCCCGGCGGACAGTCTGGACTGCCCTTCTCTTCCTTCTTAAATCCAAGGCCCCTCTCACGCTTCCCAGCACCACGGAGATGCTACTGGCCATGGCCACAGACATGCTGGGACCTCAGCACGCATCTTATCCTGCAGAGAGAGACGCTGGGGTCCAGGGAGGCCAGGCAGTGGCCGTGGTCACCCAGCTGGGGTAAAACCCAAGTCGGGCTCCTGGGCCAGTACCCTCGGTCCCCCTCCTGGAGGGCAGACCTACCACTTCCGGCCAAGGGCTTGGGCAGGTCCCTGGCTCTGGGACGGTTGAGGGCTAATGGAGATGAGAGATGAGGGTTGGAACACGTTCGGCGGCACGCAGCCTGGGCCACGCTCAGGACTCCGCAACCAGATCCGTCATAAGGTGGCACGTCAGTGTTACTGTGAGGAATGAAGGCTGGAAAACTAACCAAGCCACAGGCAGTGGGGAGAGCCAGCCAGGCCACGCCCAGCGAGGACCTGTCCCTGGGAGCGTGGGATTAGCCTGGGGCCTGCCCAGCCCAGGTCCTCCAGGGGTGGGAACCAGGAGGGCCATGGGGGGAGGGGCTGCAGGGGTCCCTGGGCCAGGGATGCAGCACTTAGAGCTGTAAGGGTTGTGGGGGGGACACGGGAAGGGAGAGCTGGAAGCCCCAATCTCCCCTTTCCCCACCCCCACCCTTGGAGCCTCCTATCTGCATCTCTTTTCTGGAGCCTTAATGAACAGAGACTAATTGGCAGAGAGAGGGGGAGGGCATCCTGGCACATGACTAAATGTCATGTGACCCCAGGCCAGTCACTTCCCCACTGTGAGATGCAGACACCCCTTTCCTAGGAGCTTCTCCGGTCTGCCAGGCGCCTTCAGGCACCATCTCCCCATATGCTCACAAGATACCCTATGAATAGCCCCATTTTCTGATGGAGAATCCAAGGCATGCAGAGGTGAAATCGTTTGCCCAAGATCTCGGAGCTGGCAAGCGGCAGAACCGGGAACTGAATCCACGCTGTCTGGCCCCATTTCATGCAGTGCTAAGATCCCGAAATGCAACAGGGAAAAGGCCCGTGGAACTCTAGGCCAAGTTACTGAGGAAGCCTGCCCTTCTCAGGCCGCACAGCACAGCAGTGGCCACACTGGGATGTAAACTGGGTCCCCAGATTCCCCAGGACCCCTGCCCTTCCAAGGGACAGAACTGGCCCCGCCCTCTCGGATGCCAGGCACCCCCAACTCCAGCCCTCTCTTTCCCAATCTTTAGTGGATTATGATCTCAGCACGCTGGAGTCAGGGAGAGAGAAAGACGCAGAAAAAAAAAAATGAAAAGAATAACATCCTTTGTGCATATATGTTTTTAACGGTTCTATTTCTAACGGGCCTATTTCTAATGGACTTATATTGTTTTCCTCGGCACCAGGCACTGAAGATAAAAAAAAACTGGCAAAATAGAAGAAACAGATTATTCAAGCCCCAGGGGAACCCAGGCATTCAAATAAGATTTCAAATGACTCTCTTTCGATTAAAACTTTTGCTGCAGTGAAACCATGGGGAGATAAGGCAGCCGAGTGTCTTCACAGGCCGCCAAGAACAGAGATGCTCACATCTGTAGGCTCCCCTCCCACCAGCGCCAAGGCCCACTCGGCAAAGCGTCTGGGCTTCAAACGGGAGATGCACCTGCCTTTAGCGGGTGTACAAACAGGGCTCGGGAGCTTGCCCTGGACGCACTGCTCCACAGGAAGGGGACAGAGCGGAGCGGGTGGCCCAAGGCCCAGCAGGAAGGCCACCTTAACCTTTCCTCGGCTGGAATCTCCGAAGCCCTCTGCCAGGGCCGGGGCAGCCTCTACCTAAAACCCTTCCTCCACCCTCCGCAGGCCTCCTGGTCGCCCAGAAGCATCCAGCGGAGGGTTGTGCGATGTCAACACCCGATCCAAGAAGGGGCTGGCTGAGCAGAAGGCTCTGATGCCGGCTCCTCCAAAGCCACAACCTCTTCCCCGTTTCCCTCCCCAGTCTCCGCATGCCTCTCTCCGAGGAGCAGCCAGAACGATCCACTTAAATAGAAATCAGTTCACACCGTTGTCCAGTTCTCTCAGCTCTGCAACCCACAGCCCCATGCGTCAAGAAAGAGCTCCACGCACCTCACCCTGGCTTTCTGGAAAACCTGCTCCCCACTTCCACCTGTTTCCCCCCACACCCCACCATTCACCAACTCTGGCTACCTCAGGACCTTTGCACTTGCTGTTCCAAAGCCTGGATCGCTTTACCCAGACCTCTGCACAGCTTCAGACGTCACCTCCTCAGAGGCCCTCCTTGACAGCAGTCCCGGCCCCCAGGCTCGGTGTCAGTCACGCATCCAGCTCTACCCCCTCACAGCACCAACCCCTCCCTGTGGATTTGTTCCTCATGTAAATCTCTGCCTGCCCCTCATAAACTGTAAGTTCCTTGAGAACAGGGACCTTTCTGTTTTTGTCATTGTTCTTTTCCCCTATGCCTAAAATTACTGTAGAGATTCAATAAATAGTTTTTTTGTTTTGTTTTGCTTTTTTGCGGTATGCGGGCCTCTCACTGTTGCGGCCTCTCCCGTTGTGGAGCACAGGCTCCGGACGCGCAGGCTCAGCGGCCATGGCTCACGGGCCCAGCCGCTTCGCGGCATGTGGGATCTTCCCGGACCGGGGCATGAACCCATGTCCCCTGCATCGGCAGGCGGACTCTCAACCACTGCGCCACCAGGGAAGCCCAATAAATAGCTTTTTAATTGATGAAAGCCATTGACGAAGGTCCTGACTCCTTTCCAGAAATGTTTTAAAATCTATCAGAAATACATATTTATCTAGATAAAGATCACGCCAGAAATAAAAACAAACAAAACCCAGAAATCACTGCTATTGACTGGAATCGGCAAATGGGAATTCTAGTAGGTCACAGCAAATAACGGTCCTGATCGGCAAGAAACTAGGCCTTTTGCCAATTCAAAAAAAGCACAAAGTAATTATAATTTAATGAATGTGGTTTGGCAGACAGAAGCCCACTAACTTGAGGAAGCAGAATGGACAGGGGTTGAGAGTGGGCTCTGGGAGCCGACTGCCCAGGTTCTGAACTCCTCCCTGCTGTGTGACCTCAGGCAAGCCACTGCACCTCTCTGGGCCTCAGAATCCTCAGCTGTACAAAGGGATTCACAACAGACTTTCCTCGTAGAGTTATTGTGAACGTGAAATGAAAGAGATGTATGTAAAATGCTCAGAAAAATGCTTGCCACACAGGAAGCACTCTATAAATATTATTTATCTGTACTATTATTAGGGGGTGCATAGGAGAAAAGAATTATAAAGAGGCCTTTGTTTGAGAATCATTTAGTCTAACCTGCATCATTCTTTATGTAACAGTTTTATTGAGATATAATTCAGCTACCATAAAACCCACCCCTTTAAAGAGTACATCTCACTGGTTTCTAGTATATTCGCAGACTTGGGCAACCATCTCCACTATCTAATCTGAGAACATTTTCATCACTCTCACCAAAAAAAAAACTTTAGTGGTGACTCTCCATTCCCTCCTCCTTCCAGGCCCCTGGCAACTACTAATTTACTTTCTGTCAACTCCCACCATTTTACAGATGGGGAAACTGAGGCTCAGAGAGGGGAAGTGACGTGTCCAAGGTCACGAAGCAGAGCCTCTGGCCCCAGTTGTTTCTCCGCTGCACCATCTCCCTCCACTCAGAAGCCTCCCCGCCCCCCAAGACTGGATGATGCCCTCTGACTCACATATACACTCCCCAGACCTCCCCTCTCCACACTCCTGACCCCCGGGGCTTTACTCACGGAGTCCGATCTTGGCCAAGTGCAACCTGTTGACCCAGGAGATCTTGCTCAGGGGGTTGGGGGTGATGAAGACCACCATGAAGCTGATGGGGCGGCCGGACCTGCGGTGAGAGGGCAGGAGCATGAGTGCTAGAACGGGGCCTGGCTCACCCGGGAGGTACGCAGCTCTTCCCTCCAACCACCAGCCCTGGAGATAGAGCAAGGTCTGTGCAGAGAACCAAAGCATGGCCAGAGAGGCCAGTGGCCTGGCAAAGCCTCAGTCCCCTGGGGGAGGACTCCCTCCACCCACCACAGCCCCGGGGAGGGGGCAGGTAACTCCCCCGAGCGACCAGGCCGTGGCCCCCAGCCCAGCCCAGGCACCCCAGCGTGGGTGCCTAGCAAGGCCACGGGGGGTCTGGCCCTCTGCAGGCTGTGACTCGAGAGGCCCTCCAGGGCCCCACCTGGTCAGGGCTCCACAGGCCTCGTCAGACACCTGCACACGCCTGACCCGGAGCCTCTGACTCAGGCCTGTTCCCAGCACCTGGCACAGGGCACTTTCTTGGTAAATGTCTCCTGAATGGACACATGAATGAATGAAAAAATGAATGAATGGCAGTATGTACAGGCTTGGGGTGGCCAGAGGTCACTGTTGTCACCACACTGTCATCTCACCTTAGAGCAGCGGAAGCCCCTTCATTGTTCTCCGGGGCCCATGTCCCCGCTGTGAGCCATCCCAGCCCCCGGGAGGTGGACAGGAAGGTGAGGCAGGGGCGCAGAGAAGGGGAGAGAGCCGCTCCGCAGGCCACTGTGAGCCACTGTGCGAGGGCACCCAGAAGGTTCCAGGCTGCTGACCCTCAGACTCCAGTCCTGGGCCTCGCATCCTGGCTCCCGGACCTGCCTCAGACCACAGCGCCCCAGTCTCCCCTTCCCTGCAGCCACTGTGCTTGTAACACTGTCCCTGCCCAACCGAGAGGTCAAAACCTGGGCTCTGAGCCCCTCACTGCTCCAGCCTAGGCTTTGGAGTCAGACTCCTCAGAACCCAGCTCTGCCACCTACTTCTGAGCCTCGCCTCCCTCCTCTGTAGAGCGGGGATCAGACAGATCGCCTTCCCCATCTCTGCATCAATTCCACAAACATCAGCTGTGGGTCGACCGAGCGTGAGCTCCTGCGGGAGCATTTGTGGGGAGGCTGGATCCGTGAGAGCGGACCCAGGGCCTGGCCCCAGGGGACTGCACAGTCTACCAACCGCTGGCGGGGTGTCCCAGTAGCCTAACGGAGGACAGGCTCACCCCAGGTACAGATAGGTCGTTCGTTCATTCATTCATTCATTTGACCACGAGCACCTGCTCTGTGTCAAATGCTTTGCCGGGCACGGCCCACGATGCGTGTACGCCCACGCCCACCCCCGCAGTGCTGGCAAGCAGGCTGGTCCCGACGCCCCTCTCCAAGGCCCCCCTTCCTCTCACTTGTCGGGTTTCCCGGGAAGCAGGAGCCTGAGGCGGCACTTGTTGGCCGAGTGGATCTCCTCCTCCTTCACCCGCATAAGCCTCTGCAGGGCCAGGCACCAGTCTTGAGCCACGGTCATGTTCAGGTTCTAGGGTCAAGGAGGCCAAGGAGGTCACCATACAGCCCTCTGGCTCCCCGAAAGCCACTCCAGATCCCACAGCAGTCGGGGCCCCAAGGGGAGAGGAGCCGAGGGTCAGTGCGGGAGCTCGACCTGGGCGGCTCACTCAGCCACAAGCGGTGGGGGGATGCCGACTCCCCGGGCTCCAGGCCTTGGTTCAGACCTTCCCCCCTCCATGGCACCCCTCCTTTGAGAGGGACACACCCTCCCAGCGAGCTTCCTCTCCAGCCTGGGACGAGGCTCGGGAAGGAGCTGCAGGACAGACCAGACACTGAGCAGAGAACGGAAAAAAAAAAAAAAAAAAGTGCCCATAGCCGGGCCCTGCTCAACTCGAACCAGAGCTTCAACCCGAACCGGAGGCCGCCCACCAGACTTCCAGGTAGCAACAGGAGCTTCAGACAGCACCGCTGCTAGTGGGAGCCCAGAGGCCAGGGCACATCGGGGGACCGGGCAGGAGAGGAGCCCACCCACACTTTCCTGCCGAGGCCGGTGCTGGGTACCTGGTAGGTGCCGTGCAGCGTGCTGACAAGGAGGGTGATCTGCTCCACCACAGCCAGGTCCTTCTGCAGGTCCTGCAGCTCCTGGAAGAGGCGCGGGGGCCCGAGGTACACCTTATCTGGGCAGAGAGAGACCCTACTCAGCCTCAGGGGTGGGGAAGGCACCACCAAGGGCCCAAGCAGGTACGCACTGCAAAAAAGAAGAGCTGTCGCCCTGCAGATGTGGCACTAGAGATACAGAAGGAAATGTACCAGGCTCTTGTCTACTAGTGGGGACAAATCCAATCACGGGTAAAGTCTAGCGCCTAGGATCTGGGCCACTCTCAGTCTATACAAAGGGTCACAGGAGACCAGAAGACTGAGAACCAACTGTGCCCATGAGAGGCGAGGAGACTTCACAGGCCCAGGAGAGCCGTGGCACTGCCAAAAAAGGAAAACCGCAGGTGCAAAGGCACTGTGGCATAAGGAAGCCCAGGAACAGTAAGTTGTTCAAAGATGTACTAAGAACCTACTATATGGCAGGTTCTAGTCTACATGTTGGAGAGACAGCTGCAAATGAGACAGACAGGGTCCCTGTTCTTGTGGAGCTTATGACCTGGTCAGGGTCAGGGAGGAGTCAATTAACAACTGCAGATGGTGGGAGGTACTGGGGAGAAAGATATCGGGGTGATAGGACAGAGATGGGATGGGGGCTGAGGGTGCCCTGATCTCTGGTGATGATACAAATGCAGTGTCGGGGACGTGGAGGGAGGGCAGCAAGAGACAGAGCGGGAGGGCCCAGCAGGACTGGATGGGGAGGTCCCTGAATGCCAGGCTAGGGAATTCGGGCTGTGTCCTCTACACCATGGTTACTCAAGCTGAGATCTTACAGAATCCCAGCGAGGGGCGGAGGCATGTAATTTGGATTTGCATCGAGATGATTCTCTAAAAATCAGATGCACATCTTCAGTCACCTGGATACAATGGCTTTAAAGCCACAGGCTGCTGCATGGTACCAGGGCTTCCGTGGACTTTGGTACCACGTGATGGTCACCAGGTAATAAACACAGAGCAAGGTGGGCGTGGGCGGTAAGAGATACGCTCACACCAAACCAGGGGCAAAGAAGGGCTCTGCAGCGCCCCCAACGGCATGAGCTGGTGGGAAATGGAGATCACCGTGAGGCACTCTGGGGTACAGGTGCAGAGAACTCAAAAGAACCTGCCCCACAAGAGGACCACGTCTATGTTGAGAGCAGTTTGGTGCCAACAAGACAACATCAGCCATCACATTAAATTAATGCTGTTCCTTGAGTTTTATTATTTTGTAGCATCATTTTTATTCCACTTGTGATTCTATTTTGGTTTTATGGTTGTTCAAGGGATATAAGCATAAGGAGTTCATTATACCTAGTCTTATACTTGCACATATTTGAATAACAATATAATAAAAAACCATCCAAGGCCACCTGGGGTTCAACAAGGATTTCTTTTTTCCTCTCTCAAGGGGGCCTGGCAGCCTAGTGCTCTACTTTGAGAAATGTGGCCACAGATACCACAGTGGCTGAAGGAGCGCTGCCAGAGCAAGAGCCCGAAGGGTGGGGGGAGAGTGGAGTGGAGCCAGGGCTAAAGGCACCGCTGAGGGGGGCAGATGGGCCGGGAGCCCCTCCCAGGGGGCTTCTGTGAACAGAGAGCCAGGAACACAAGGCAGCCTCCCATGCCTCCCAGGCCTGGGGAGGGGGACACAGCAGCTGAAGTGGGCGCAGCCTTCCGAGGACGAGAGTGTGTGGTGAGTCCCTCCCTCAGAGCCACCTCCCAGGTCAGGGATGGACAGAGCTGGCCAGTGGGGAGGGGTGACAGCCAAGTGCCTTCCCGCTAGCCATGCAGTTACGTCCTTCGTTCATTCAACAAATGTCTATTAACACCCACCACATACCAGGCTCAGGAGGGCTACGGTCACACCAAGGGAAAAGACAAGATGGAAACCAGACCATCACCATAGAGGTGAAAACACACCCGGGCCTTGGGAGCACTGGACGGGGACCTGGCAAGTCCAAAGGAATCAGGAAGGGCTTCTCTAAGGAAGTGTCACCTGAGCTAAGATGAGTAGGGGCAGATAGACAAAAACAGGATGGCAGGAGAACACTCTGGAGAAGGGCAGAGGCCGGGAGAACGCCCTGGGGCAGGAGGGGGCTCAACCCCCCAGGAACAGGGCAGCCAAGCCCAGGGAGTGAAGGAGCGGGGAGGGCTGAGGTGGGGCGGCAGGTGGGCCCCCAGGATGGGGGGGTTCTTCGCCCGGGCGAGAACCTGGGACTTCACCCTGAGAGCAGTGGGAAGCCACTGGCGGATTTCAGGTGGAGGGTGACACACAGCTCTGACACGCATTTTGAAAAGTCGGCCTGGGGAGGGTAGAGGATGGGACGGGACAGGACAGGAAGGGGCAAAGGGGAGGGAAGGGCAGCACCAGGAAGTTCCCGCCACAGCACTGCGGAGATGGAGAGGACGGGGCGCACGGGGGAGCCTGCCACCCCGAGTTCTCACTGTCCTTGTTGCCCAACAGTCTGAGGGGATAGCATAGGGGAAAGAGGATCCAGGCAGAGCCAGGCAGCCCCGAGCCTGGGCCCTGAGGGTTTCAGGGACAGGGTGAGTGTCACCGGGGCCCCTCACTGTATAAACGGGCGAACTGAGGTCCCACATGGAAGCAAGCAATGGCCAGGCAGGCACTGGAGGTCACCCTTTCTGATCCAAGGTCACTGCGTGTGCACGCATGCGTGTGCACGTGTGTGCGTGTGTGTGCACGCTTGCCAGGGTGTGGCAAGGACTGGGGTGGGCAGGGGCTGTGAGGGGTGACTGCGTGCAGCATGCATTTGCACACTCAGGTAGGGATGTGGGTGTGTGTTTGTGTACAGTTATGTACAGCAGGAAAAGTCTCTGGGCCAAGTGCCCGTGGGCCTGGGGGCCGAGCCCGGGCAGGTGCTCCCAGGGCAGTGTCGGGCAGGTACTCACTCTGGGCCTGGCCCGCAGCCGAGGCCTTCTTGGCGCCGGCGTGCTGGATGAGTACGTTGTCCTTGTCATAGGAGCTGCCCTCCTGGCCCACCTCCATCACCTGCACCTGGGGCAGCGCCGTGTTCCACTTCACCACATACTTGGGCCCCAGGGGCACCAGGCTGCTGATCTCCAGCTGGCCCCTGCCAGGAAGAGAGGACACGGCCCTGGAGAGCCCGCAGCACCCAGCCCCAGGGCCAGCCAGAGCCGCTCCTCAGCAGGTCAGCTCAGCCAGGCACCTCACAGCCCAAGCACAAGCCCTCAGGTCAAAACCAAGCCAGGCGGAGCAGGGAACGGAGGAAGGGGCAGAAGCATCAGGGCATCCAGGCCCCAGCCCCATATCCAGAATCACACGCCCACCCCAAGCCTTGGCGCCCCTACCTGTGGTTGGCAGGCCTGAGGAAAAAGACAAGAAGGGTCGTTATCGTTACAGAGTGGTTTCCGTAAAAACCACTGCAGCCGCTGAGACCCCCCTGGGGGTCGGCCACTGGGCTGGGCCAGGTGTGGGCAGAGCGGACCACACGGAGGGCCTTCTCCCTGGAGTGGGCACTGGTCTTCCATCACCTATTCCCACAGTGGCCCTGCTAGGAAGCCTGTACTATTCCAGAAGAGGATACTGATGCTCAGACAGGTCACGTGACTCACCCCAAGTCACCCAAGATGAACCCCTAAAAGTGAGCCACTAACACCCTCATCACACTTTCACGCCATGCTAGGCTCCAAGCAACAGGAGGGCAGAGAGGGTGTAGGTCAGATCCCTGGCACCTGCACAGAGTCCAGGATATAAACGGGACTTAAAAATTATAGTGCTTGGGCTTCCCTGGTGGCGCAGCGGTTGAGAGTCCGCCTGCCTATGCAGGGGACAACGGGTTCGTGTCCCGGTCCGGGAAGATCCCACATGCCGCGGAGCGGCTGGGCCCGTGAGCCATGGCCGCTGAGCCTGCGCGTCCGGAGCCTGTGCTCCGCAACGGGAGAGGCCAAAAAAGGGAGAGGCCCGCAAACCCGCAAAAAAAAAAAAAAAAAAAAAAATTATAGTGCTTGAATGAGGGAGGGAGGGAATGAATGAAGGTGGGAGCCCCAGTAAAGAGTTCACGCAACCCAGCTGCAGGCCTGTGTGGCCCCAGGCAGTGTGGGCCCAGAACGCGAGATCTTCACGTTTTTAAGAGAAGCCAGATGTCTCAACCTTTGTGTGAACTCCCCGTAGGAGCCAAACACAGGGTTTCCAGAGGCCACGAGTTTGCAGACTCTGGTCTAAAGAATCGCCCTCTCCCCACTGCAGGGCTCCAACTCCAATTCCGACTCCAGGCAGCACCTGGCAGCCCGCCTCTGGGCATTTCTACAACCTCTGACCCAGAACCGGGAAACCAGGCTCCTGCAGGGAGTTGGGGGAAAGGCAAAGACTCATGTTGAGAAACACGCAGATCCGGCCGGAGGAAAATCTATTTGACTTAAAGCAGCAGGAATTTGGGATCTGGGCTGGGAACAGGGAAGAATCTCTTGAATTTCAAAGTGGTCAAAACTCAGCAGACTGTTCAGTTCCGACGGCAGAGTTCCAGAACAGTCCACCCTGTGCAACAGACAGCTGTTTGCCCTCAGTGACCTCTGCAGGTGCTTCCTAGCTCTGGGGACCAGGGACAGAGCAGGCGCAAAGGGATAGAAGAGGAAGTTGGGACGTTGGAGGCCTCCGATGAGCTCACGCAGGACCCCAGCTATGACGGACTGGGACATGACAGGAGGGGTCCCCAGGGAGGGGCAACAGCCAGGTCTGCTTACTTGAAGTTGATGTTGGCGCAGACCAGCATGTCGCTGAGCAGGAAGACCCTGCGCTCCTTGGACTTGATCAGCTGCCCGCGGTCACCGTACACGGTCTCCGTCAGCGTCTCACACAGGAGCAGCTGACGCTGGCCTGAGGTCAAAAGCTGGGGGGAGGGGACAGAGCAAGGTCAATACCAACATCGTACACTGGCTGCTCCACAGACATCGCTGTGCCAAAGACCCAGGATTCTCCCTCCACATACAAAGGGGACCACAGCTGGGAGAGGTGGAGGAGGAGGCAGGGCCACGCCCTCCAGCCCCGGGGGACAAGAGGCACTGACCACCCACCGGCCCCAGCAGCCAGCACCCCTGCTCAGGTGAGCCAGCCACTGCCAGCGGCACAGCTCCAGAGCCGCAGACCCGTGCTCTGACCTTGGTTCCCGGAGCGCCCGCTGTGAAGCCCTCTGGCAGGCGCCATGTCACCTCTCCACACCTCAGCTTTCTCAGCTGTCAAGTGGGCGATACCTCTACTGCTCACATCACCAAGGCAACAACGTGTGACCGGACCTGGCTACATGATCCGCAGAGCCCAGCAGAGGAGGAAAACCCGGTGCTCACTCAGAATTATTAAGAATTTCAAGGGCTTCCCTGGTGGCGCAGTGGTTGAGAGTCCGCCTGCCGATGCAGGGGACACGGGTTCGTGCCCCGGTCTGGGAAGATCCCACATGCCGCGGAGCGGCTGGGCCCGTGAGCCATGGCCACTGAGCCTGCGCGTCCGGAGCCTGTGCTCCGCAACGGGAGAGGCCACGACAGTGAGGCCCGCGTACCGCAAAAAAAAAATGAATTTCAAGATGGCAATGGCAGAGCATTAAGGCAAACGTGGGGCCCTTCTGAGCGCCCATCCTGGTGACGGCACAGGCCACACACCCAAGGAGCCGGCCCTGCGACGGGACACCCCACAGATGGCCACTGTCCCCACTGCTGCCACTGTTCGTGTGGCCTCAAGCAGGGAGACTCCTGGCCTGAAAGTAGGTCCCATTCGTCACCCTGACCTATTGAACAACCTCAGCTACTGGCCTCGTGGAAGGCCTCGTGTGGGGCTGGGACAGATCTGCTGGTCGACAAGGCAACCCTCTGACAAGGCTGAAGGCCTTCAAGCCTCCAGCATCCGAACAGGCGTCTGCCCATCTCGGGCTGGATTCCAAGAATGCTGCCAGCCCCGGACCACCATCAGACCCAGAGACCCGCTGGGAAAACGTCTCTTTACTAACTAAGGATTTTGCTGAGGAGGAAAAGGAGTATTCAGCAAAATTCCTTCCCAAAGCCCGTGATTCTGATGACAACAGCTAGCGCCCCTCCGCCCCATCCTCACAAGGGAAAGGGCGGGTCATCCCCAAACCTCTCCTGGACAGAACGCCCTTCTGTTCTGTGAAGAGCGGTGTCTCTCCAGGCGACACGAAAGCCCGAGTGACACCACATGCCACTAAAGAGTCCACCTCTCATTTAATCGCCTCAAGCACGCTGAGGCCTCCCCACTCCTGGACAAGGGGACGGAGATTCCAGAAGTAAAGAGACTTGCTGAGACCCAGTGCCGGTTGAGCGGCAGGGCAGGACAGAGCCAGGCCACACACGCTGTTCCCAGCACCCGGCAGCCAGCCACACACCCTCTGGCTCCTGACTGGGGGTTAGAGGAGTCAGAGAAAGCCCGCTGCTCCCAACACACACAAAAAGTCTCAGGGTGTCCCAGGGATACCCCCATGACTGCTAAGACTGGGCTCCCCCAGCCCACAGCTTCCACCAGCAAGCTGACTGCCAGCTCGTGTAGACACAGCTGGGACCCTGAAGACAGCAGGCCCCTCAGAAGACGGCCAAGTGTGCCGTGACCCTTTTCCTCAGGAGAGAGGAAAGTCCCCTGGCTTCCGACAACCATCCTCCTGCCACTTAAGCAGATTAAAAACAAGAAAGACAACAGAAAAGTCGGGTATTGCACAAGCAGCCCCCTGCAGTCGCGTCCTGAGCAGGCACATTTTGAAACAGCCGACACCGTTGCACTTCGGGCACACCCAGTTTCGTTTCCACTTCTCTGTGGGTGATGGGTGGCAAGAGGGAAATCACTGCACTGGCCTCAGAACTGGCCGAGACTGCCCCAGGGGGGCCCTGGCCGGGGAAGGCGTGGTGTGCGGCCACCATCCCTCTCTCCACGACACCATCCCACACGCATCCGACACACCCACTTGACAGGTGGGGAAACTGAGGCTTGGGGCTGTCAGTTCCTCGCCCAACACCCAACAGGTCCCCCTGACCTCCAGCCAGTGACCACTGCTCCTCCCAGCCCGGGTCCCCCCCAGCGGACAGAGCAGAAGGGGACAGACAGCTCTTCCCAGAGCAAGTGCTAAGGAGAAGGGATTCCTTCTCCCGAGTGATCTCACAAGTGTGTGAGCCAAAGCGGGAGAAACCCTCCTGGTCACAGGAAAGGAGCTGAAGACAGAAGAAGATACTTCCCAAGTGCAAAGACCATCAAACACTAGCACGGTGGCCATGGCTGGGCTAAGGTCTTTTTAACCCGAGAGACATTTCAAAATAGAAGGCTTGGGACTTCCCTGGTGGTCCACTGGCTAAGAATCCGCGCTCCCAACACAGGGGGCCCGGGTTCGATCCCTGGTCGGGGAGCTGGATGCCGCAACTAAGAGTCTCTATGCCGCAACTAAAGATCCCGCGTGCCACAACTAAGACCCCGCACAGCCAAATAAACAAATAATTATTTTTTAAAAACACGGAAGGCTTGTGTGGAGCCGGCTGGGGAAGTCCTGCCTGGAGGCAGGGAGGGGGGATGACCCTACCCTTCAGGCCCACCCTGAGCAATCCTGGATGGGGATACACCCGGGATGGGGGCTCCATCCCCGGCCTCATCTTTTCTTCCCATCTCTATACTCCTGGAACAGGCAAAGCAAACTCAGGTGCCTGCAGGGCCAGAAGTAACCTCAGTGGGAAGACCTGGGTATGGACTGAGGGGTCAAGGGCAGCCGCTACTCAGGTGACTGGTGCCACATAGGAGGGTGGGCCGGAGTGCCAGCTCTTCCGACCCTTAAGAAGATACATGAGTCTAAATGTTGTGGGACATTTCTCCATTTCTAAATGTTGGCAATTAATTCCATTTTCCTAAAAAATACTGTGTGGGCCTAAATACACATGTGCAGCCTGAATTTGGCCTGAGGTGGGACAGTCTTAAGACGCAGGACCCTGAAGCTTAGAATTGCAAGGGACCCTGCAAGTTCACTTGTCCGGGCCTTGTTTTGCAGGCCTGTGGTGAAAATCAAACATGACAACGCAGGTTAGGGAGTATCATGTACTGTAAAGGGCGGGGCCGCGTGGGAAGCGCTGTGGTGCTCCTGGTGACACTCCCCAAACATTAGAAAGTTCCAGCCCGTGTGGCTGAAATCTCATCGGCCTCAGTCACTGGCCTCAGTTCTGCTTTCGGGGCCACAGAGCCAGGAGGCTCCCAGTTTTCCCCCAAATACCTGAACACCTCCCTGTGACTCCACAGGATGTCCCTTCCCCAAAGAACAACGCTTGCCCACGCCAAGTGCCCTGGGGCCAAACCCCACACTCTGGTGGGTGAAAGAAGGCGGGGCCCAGGGCCTCCCAGATGTGGGTGCAGCTGCAAGCGGCCCATGTCACAAGCCACTAGGGAAACAGAGGACTAAAGTTCACCAAAGGGACCTCCCTGGTGGCGCAGTGGTTAAGAATCCGCCTGCCAAGCAGGGGACGCGGGTTTGAGCCCTGCTCTGGGAAGATCCCACATGCCGCGGAGCAACTAAGCCCATGTGCCACAACTACTGAGCCTGAGCTCTAGAGCCCACTAGCCACAACTACTGAACCCGCGTGCCACAACTACTGAAGGCCGCACGCCTAGAGCCCATACTCCGCAACAAGAGAAGCCACCGCAATGAGAAGCCCGTGCACCGCAACGAAGAGTAGCCCCTGTTCGCCACAACTAGAGAAAGCCCGCGCACAGCAACGAAGACCCAATGCAGCCAAATAAATAAACAAATAAAATTTAAAAAATAAAGTTCACCAACAGGTGACTCTGGGAGGTGACTAATTTTTTTTGTACCAACTTTGTGTTTTAAAAACAGAGTTCCCAGGCTTCCCTGGTGGCACAGTGGTTGAGAGTCCACCTGCCGATGCAGGGGACACGGGTTCGTGCCCCGGTCCGGGAAGATCCCACATGCCGCGGAGCGGCTGGGCCTGTGAGCCATGGCCGCTGAGCCTGCGCGTCCGGAGCCTGTGCTCCGCAACGGGAGAGGCCACGACAGTGAGAGGCCCACGTACCGCAAAAAAATAAAATAAAATAAAATAAAAACAGAGTTCCCTAATAGACTCATTTGAAAGTGTTTCAAGATTTTTTTTTTTTTTGCTAGAATGTTCCTAAGTTGCAATCCCAAAACATGGCGTGGATTTTTCTTTTTGCTTCTTAAAAAATAACACTAATAATGACAGCTGCCACCTTGTATTAAGGGCTCTGGGTCTGCCAGTTTGCCAACTCTCTCATTTGCCTCGCAGAAGCCCTGAAGGTCAGGCGCCATCGAGCTCTTCTCATTACAGAGGAAGCAACTGAGGTTCAGAGAGGTTGGATGATTCCCCTGAGGCCACACAGTAAGCACCAGTGGCAAAATCTGGATTCAAACCCAGACTCTGACTCCACGGCCCACTAGTTTAAGCACAATACTAGGCTATCATTTCTGGCATCTTTACTGGCAATTACACTGCTGAATTAAATCAGCTTTTATCCTAAAATCACATGAGTAGTAACGAATGTGGAGGTCTAGTCAAGATTAATCCTTCAGGTAGGGTCTGCGGGCTCAGAGAGAAGCAAGGAATCGCCTCCCTCGGAGAACACTGCCACCTGGTGGGTGCCACAGGGGAGGAGGCAGAGCGACGGGCGAGGCCGGCTGCAGGGCAGGTACGCACGCACCTTGTTGAGGCTGCTGCGGTCACTGACGCTCTTGGTCAGCTGCTGGATCTCGGCCACCTGGTCGGCCAGCCGCTTCTGCTCGTTCAGCTTCTCGGCCAGCGTCTCCAGCTCCGTGAGCGCCAGCTGCAGCGAGAGCCTGTCCGGGTGGCCCCTGGGGGTGTTCTTCAGCATGTCCTGCCAGGGTCCAGAGGGAGCCACGACTGAGACCCCCACCCCAGCAGACCCTCCCCTGGCTGGGGTCACAGCCTCCGCCTCCACACTCAGGCCTGAGAAGGGCCCAGCTTGTAGCCGGGACAGGTGGGGCCTGACATAGAGCAAGGCCTCAAGAAGCAGCTAGTGAATGAATAACTAAAATAAAATAGCTGTGCGGACCGATCCCTGATTCACTGATGAACTGTGGACCAATCCCTGATTCACTGATGCACTGTACACTGAGACGAGACCCACTCCTGCTGCTGGTCCCTCTGAGAACAGAGAGGAAACCCTGCTGGGCCCTTGGGCTGGCAGCCAGCCTTCGCCCCAGGGGGACTCACCCCCTGACTGAGGACCCCCGGCAATCAGGGGAGGTGCCTCAAGCTCTCGGGGCCCAGCGTAGAGGCTAACGCTCCCCCGGGAAGCCTGAAGTGCCAAGATCAGAGCATCCCCGGGGCATCTCCTCACTGCCAGGGGCCCCACAGTCGCCCGGATTCCACGTGCCTTCCCACAACCACCGGTCACCGGGTTCCCACCAGGGGAGGCGAAAGTAAGCTCGATGGGCTCCACCCTAGGAGTGGGGAAGGAGGGGGCCGGGGGGCCAAGGCCCTGCCCACCGTGCACAGATGCGTGGGTTGTGGGTGACGGATGAGAAGCCAGCCCTCCTGCCCCAACCCCATGAGGCTCGCACCATGCCACGCCCCACCCTGCAGGTTGATGGCCGCCAGAATCCCCCATGGTACCTGAAGCAGGAGGATGAACTGCGGGAACCTCTGGATGGGCTTCACCATCAGCCCGTAGAGCGTGACGCGGTCGGGGCTACACACCTGCCGCCGCTGTTGGAGATGAGGGGGGTAATTCACTGAGCCTCCGCAGCAAGGGCCCAGCACCCGGGGTACAGACGCGGCCCATCCTGGGCTCCCCTCCCTGGACCCAGGACCCTGCTCAGCCTTGGGCCCAAGAGAAGAGCCCAGGAGGTCCCTGGTTCCACAGTCAGGGGTCCCTGCCACCACAGGGCTCCCCGGTACAGCCCCTCACCCTGGAAAGCCTAGAGCATCACGTTAAAGTCTCTGGACTAAAAGCCTAAGTAGGACATTTCAGCAATTTATCCAAGAAGTCAGGCTACGGAAAGTAGCCGAGACAACCATTCCCTCCGCCTAAACTAAAGCGGACGGGCCTGGGCCGGGGTGAGGATCGGCAGGGGGACGGTTCTTACTGTCCTGTCTCTTGCTTCTGTTTCCACCTCTCCATCCACCCACCTGTCACCTTGACCCGGGCCCTCAGCCCCTGCGACCCAGGCTGCCGCCACAGCTTCCCCACCGGCCTCTGCCTCCATCTGCCTCCACCCAAAACTTCAGTGGCTTCCCGCTGCCTGAAATACGACATCCTAGCCCCTGGGCCAGGAGGGCCAGATCTGCCCAAACTGAACTCCACTGCTCTGGGCCTCTCTCCCGGGCACCCAGTGCTCCCAGGATCCAACCAGACTTTGCCTCTGACCTTTGCCCCATCACCCTTGCACCTGGAACACCCTCTTCTCCATCTCTCCGTTTCAACCCCACTGACCCCCCAGGACCCATGTCGGATGGCGCCCCATTGAGAAAGCCCCCTGAGCCTCTGGGATCCAGGCTGTAGGCTGCTCCGCTGAGGCGGGTGGGGGGCCCCAGCCCACCTGCGCCCTCTGCTGGGTGGCACGTCTCTGACTCACCTACGTGTGCGCCTAGGAAATGGGGACTGGGGGACCTGGTCCCACAGCTACTTGAGGCCTATAGTCCTTTAAACTCTATTCTCGCACGTGATCCCCAAAGCACCGCTTTAAGAAAAGGGATCATCCCGGCCACAAGCTGAGCCACACCAAGCCTAGCCACCGTCTGCAGATGTCACAGGCCTACGCTTCCACCTGTCAGAGCTCCAGGATCCCAAGCGGCTTACAGAAACTTTAACTCTTCTTCACCCTCCCCTTGGCGGAGTGGGGAAAGGACAGGCAGATTTTCTTCCCGTGGGACTGGGGATGGCCCAAAGGAAAGAAGAGAGGCATCTGGGCCAAAGAAGTGATGCTGCAGCGATCCCTACCTCCTGAGACACCTCCCTGCCCCCCCCCGACGGCCAGGGCTCCATCGAGAGGGGCCCCGGACCACCCTCGGGCCCACCTTGAGGAACTCGAGGAAGGCGGGCTTGGTGAGACAGGCCTTCTTGATGATGGACATGGCGTTGGTAAAGTTGTTCACGTAGTCGCTGTACACGTCTAGCACCACGGACTTGGAGAACTGTAACAGGTGTGGGCGCGGCCCGGGAGGGTCACATCCATGCGAGGGGGAGGGCGACCAGCACCCCACCCTCACTGGTGACCACAGTCCTCCTCTGTCTGGAGGGTCTCAGCTAGCCTTGAGGTGAGGAAACCTGTCACCCGGTGAGGGGAGGGGACAGGGCTCAGAGAGGCAAAGAGACACCAAGGTCACAGGGAAGAAGAGGTGGTGCTAAGGAGAGCCTGGGGAGGTCCCTCGTCCCCCAGCACGGCAGCCTGGCCCACAGGCGAAGGGGGGTATGGCGGCCCTTTGCTACGCCCCCCAGCTCCCCACCCTCAAGGATGGCGCTCCTGACCTGAGCCCCATGGACACACCGACCAGGGCGCTGGTTTTTTTGCCTTTTAGCAGAACCCAGTTGCCTACAACATATCGAAGCAGTTTCCACCGATCTGACCATCTCTCACCCCATGAATCTCTCTGGGGCCCACAGACTTCAGTGTCAAAAACCATGAGTCCAGCACACCCCCTTCTTCCACAGATGGGGACCTGAGCCCCGAGAGGGCCCTGGAGCTGCCCACGTTTGCACAGCTGAGCTGGGACCAGGCCACGTCTCCGGGAGCACGACCCAGTGGCCTGGCCCCGACACCCTGCAGCACCCTCTGGGGCCAAGGCCATGCTCTGTGTGAGCGTTGCACAGTGGTCCCTCCGCGAGCACTCGGCAGGGGGCGCTTGAGATCGGCCAGGTGGCTGCCCACAGTGGCCAGTCTCCTGGAGGCACTGCCACCTAGGCAGAGCCACAACAGTGAGCGGGAGGCACGCGGGCGGACATCTCCAAGGACACGCTGCAAGGTGTCACGCCCACCCCCGCGTAGGCCAGGCTGACTCAGGCCCTGCCACCCTCTGACCCCGCTGGCTGGGACGAGGCGACCAGGTGGAGGCAGGAGGCTGGCCCAGAGCACATCCAGATCACGGCCGCGGTTGGCACCTTGGCAGGCTGGGGAGAGTCTGGGGACACCTACCGAAGCCACGAAGAGGTCCCCAATCTTCTCGGTGGAGTCCCACTCGGCCACGCGGGAGGACAGGGCGATCTGGAACATGGAGTGGCAGTGCAGGATCTCCTTCACGCGAAAAAACACCACCTGGCACTTGCGGACACTCAGCGCCTTGGGCTCCATCTCCATCAGGGGGTTGCGGTAATCCTGAGGCGGGGGCACGGGCGGGGTGAGTGCCCTGAGGCCAGGCCACAGACCCTGCCCCCACTGCCCTCATGGCCACCTGGACCGGGCCAAGCAGAACTCGGCAGACCTTCCTGCGGGAGGAGCACCCACCCCTCACTCTTCACCTGTCCTTCTGGAAGGATCTCCGTGATCGTAACACTCCTGACCCTTCTGCCCATCCATAACCCACCCCCGTGACTTATGTGTTAAGCTGGGTTTTCGGGCAGACCCCTGCCTGCAAGGAGCTCCACGGAGGCAGTCCCCAGGGGCCGGCCCAGATCGGCTTTGCCCACAAGTGAGCCAGTCTGTCTAACGGAGCAGTGGCAGTGATGTCACAGCAAGACCTAGAGCCACACTCTCCAACCAGCTTTGTCAGAAACACGGGATATTTTTGTCTCCACCTGCCTGAGGTCTGGGCTCCTCCACTGTGGATCCAAACTCAGGAGGGGAAATGAGGTTGTTACTAGCACCCTCCCACCCCTACAATTCCCCTCCCTGTTGTCCTCCCCGAGAGCCCACAACATCCCAGAAGGTTCACCTTTTCAGGAATGCAAACTACAGACCAGGCCAGCACACCTTAGTCACGCAAGCATCTACTTAGCAATTCCTGTGCATCCGGATCACAGGGGAGAGGGCGCACCCAGGGAGCTCCAAGATGATGGGGAGACATCAGCCCCTGCCCCGGGGGCTCCCAGAGTGGCAAGGGAGGCACAAGAGGCACCACATGCCCTCAAGTCCATAGGATACAGCTCATTTTATTGAACCCTGACATGGTTTCAGAAAATGCAGTCATCCTGTGAACACCAAGGCATCTGGAATTCTTGGTGTCCCCCATTTGGAGTTCCTGCTGTTTCCATAAAAGCCCTGGCCTTTGGCTCCTTCCCCTTAAAGATGCCCACAGTCCCCTAACGCTCCTTGTAAAATGTCCCTCCGGGGTCTCCCCTGCCCTCTCTCCAGACCCCCCGGAGTCCTACCTGGAGTACCCGTTTCAGAGACTCCACATAGCTGCCTTCGCTCTGCACGATGGAGCCCAGGATGTGCCTCCGGACCACCTGCTCGGGCAGAAAGCACAGTCGGCACCTGTGCCAACCACGGCACAGAGCGAGTTCCGGCTGCGTGCGGAGCCCCGGGTGATGGGACGAGGAGCCATGACGCCCAGTGGAGCTGCCGGCCGCGGGACAGAAGGAACTCGTCTTTCCCAGAGCTGCTCCTGGACCACTGGGGCCTGGCAGGCCAGCATTCCCTTCCAGAGGCCCTGCCAACCCCAGACAAATGCCCGTGCTCCCCAGACTGCAGCATGGGGGCAGGGGACACTGGGACTCGAGTCCCCTGCCTGGTCTCTGCTCCCACACATCCAGGGATGGGAAACCACCGCTCTCCTCCATGGGGATGGGCGGGCTCCTCCATCTTTGGACAACTTTAGTAGAAAATTCTTTCTTAGGTGAAATTGAAATCTCAGCTCCCGACACTTATAGATCTAATCCTTAACCAATATCTCTCCCATCCCCATCAAGTGGGCTCTACTTCAAGCTAAACATCCCAGCCCCTTATCCTTCCCCTCTTGCCCTCCCTGTCTCTCCTCAGCTCAAATTAGTGCATCTCTCAGGTGCAGACCGACCAGCACCCAGTCAAGAAGCCCTCACCTGGATACAGCAGCATGCGGGCTGGAGGGGGGAAGGGGTGGGGGGACTTTGCTGCACACTGGAATCACGTGGCTCCCACCCCAGACATTCTGAAGGAATTGCTACGGGGTGCAACCTCGGTAACAGTGTTTTTTAAAGCTTCCCAGGTGATTCTAGCGTGCAGCAAAGCTGGGACAGAGCTCATGAAAGGTATCGCACATGAGAGGTGTCCGAGGGGGGAGCCTATCCACCTTGGCCCAGAGCTGGGAGGGTGACTGATCCCCACTGTGCCCCCAAAGCCATCCTGAGAACATCGATCCAGGCGCCCACCACCATCTCCCCTGCTCCCCTCTGTTTCCTCCCTCCTGCCTCTGGCACACCTTTGCATCTCCTCCCACCACCCTGCCTGCGCCCGGGCCTGACCATGGCCCCTGTCCTTCAAGCTGCCCCACAGCAGGATGCCTTGTCAACGATCCCCAGTTTCCCAGGTGTTCCCAGAGCAGCGTTCTCCACCTCAGCATGCTGACGCTTGGGGCCGTCCCGTGCACTGTAGGACGTGTAGCAGCGTCCCTGGCCCCTACCCACCAGATTCCAGCAGCACCCGACCCCCCACAAGCTGTGACAACCAGAAGCATCACCAGACATTGCCAAATGTCCCCTGGGGGACAAAATAAACTCGGTTGAGAGCCACTGGCCTAGAGTAACTAACATTGCTGATGCAAGAAATGCAAAAGGCTCCCGAGGAGACAGACCCGGCCGACATCAAAAAGGGGAACCCCGGATTACGAGCTGGCAGCCCGGGGTCCTGCCTGGCTCTGAGCTCTGACGGCTCTGACAGTGACTCACTGCATAGGGGAGGGAGCAGGCGGGTAACCACCTCAGTGTTGCCAGGGGCCAGGCAGGAGAAAGAAGGAAAGAAGGAGGCGGATGGACTCCCAAGACGAGAGGTGTGGCCGTATCTCCGATTTGCAAAAGGGGCCCATCCTCAGGATTTCCTGCCAACTCCAAACCGGCCAACCCCCTCATTGCATTTGCTTCCCCAACATGTCTTGCTCAGAGCCCTCATGACAGAGGGAGGCAGGGGTCTCTCCCTCTGCCTCATGGCTAAGAAAACCCCAGCGGGGAAAAACCCAAACCTGACTCTGCCGAGGAAGGTCCCAGGGCACAGCCACCCCGATCTCGATGTGACACTTCTGGAGAAGGAAGACATCGCCCGAAGAGCCCCGCTCCTGGGATGCCTGCGGTGACTCTGGGGTCTGAACTGATGACAGGTGGGTGGATTGGGGGAGGGGGGCCGGGCACCTCCAGGGATCCTCCCTGAACTGGATTAGCTCAGTGCTTCCCAGAAAGGGACTGCGGGCCCTTTGTTCAAACACCTTCGTTTGACCCAGTTACACAGGAGCTACTCTGGCTGCCGCAGGGCTGGGAAGCAAGAGCTCCACATGCAGCCCCACCACCACCCAGGATGATGGCGTGGAACCTGCAGGGTCCAATTTGGAAAGTCTGTGCAGCAGGTTGAGAAGAGACCCCAGGAGGTCCCCCACCCAGCTGGGGCTCTGTCAAGGGCCCCCTGATCATCAACTCCCCTTCCAGACCCAGACCTGCATGGTCCCAGGTAGCAGGCTGGGGTCCTCACCGTCCCTCCCCCTGAAGACACCTCGCTCCTCCCACAAACCTGCTGTGGGCTCAGGCCGTCTGGCATGGGGCCCAGCTCCGGGGCTGGGGGCTTGATGTCCGTAACGCTGACCTCCAGGAGCCCCATGTCCTCCTCCTCCGAGTCACCTGGAAAGTGAGATGGGCTGGTGACACAGGCAAGGCAAGGATGACACACCTGCTCAAACTCCAGGAGCTGGAAACCACCCTCCCCGCGACAGACCGGGGTCCTGGGATGAGCGGCTCCTGGGGCCACAGAGGATTAGGGCCTACTCACTGGCCTCCTGGCTATACTCTGCTAGAACAGTCCACCCGGAAATAGAAGTGAGGGAGGGATGGAGCGAGAGAGTAGGAAGCAACACGCAGCAGGGGCTCGGCTCTCAGAATCCACCCTGCCAGGAGTCTCTGTCCCCGCTCAGACCCGCCCGCTTCTGGGCTGGCAAAGGCCAGGCTGCCCATGTCCCCATCACTAGACACTAAAAATAGTTTTCTTCTTGTTGCCAAAAAGGGGGAAGAAAGTAAACCCCGAGAAGAGCAGGGCTGTTTGGCTTTGTGTTTTCATCTTTCAAAAAAAGAGACCCAATGGGGAAAAAGTCCAGCTGCTGTCCAATAGGGGAACGCAGACATGAGTGGGGGCAGACCTCAGAGGACAGATCGGGACAGACAGAGGCCGGGGTGGAGAGAAAGAGCGGAGGTCAGGCAGAGCGCAGTAACCCGGCCTCGCAGGGCTCCCGCCCCACGAGCTCCAGGCACAGGCACAGGGAGACGGGACCCCGCTGCTTGCGGCCCTGAAACCCGGTGCCGGCAGCCGCAGGCAGCAGGAAGCGGGTGCTAAGGGGAAGCTGGGAAGAGAGAAGTGGTGGTGGCTCCCAGGGGCCGAGGGAACAGGGACACGCAGACGGGCCTTACCTGAGCAGGAGACAGAAGAGGAGGAGGAGGAAGGACAGTGGATGACAGTATGGGGGTCGGGGTGGTGGCGGCCCTCCTGCCTGGCCCACATGGCACCCCGGGCATCACTCCGCACCCACCCCAGCCGCTGGCCCCGAGGCTTCCTCTTCCCCCATGCGCCACTGGGTAACATTCTTGGCCGGTGATTCGAGCCTTGCCGTGGCTATTAATAACGCCTCTGGTGGGAGGGTCGCTTTAGGAAAGGCTCCGGGCTAACAGGCAGGGTGGGGAGGGAGCCTGCTGGCCGCCCGGCTGGCCTGGGGATGGGGAGGGTGACCAGGAAGAGCTCCCAGCCAGCCAGCATGTCCAGCCTGTCCGTTCTCCAGGCCACTCCAAGCTCAGAATGGCTCCTCGGCCCATCGTCCCCTCCCTCGTCGGGGGGTAGGGCTTCCCCAAAAGTTTGGCGCTGAATCAAGTATATGCAGTGGTGGGGTTAATTAAACCCACTTCACAGATGAGGAACCTGGCAGTCCAAGAGGGGAAGAAGTGGGCAAGGTCACACAGCCAGGAGGCCGTGGAACCAGGATCGGGTCCAGCACAGCAAGATGCTGTCCCAGCACCAAACACCCCCTTTTTGTGGCTGCCACCGGGAATAACACCTGCCACGCAGGGGCCAGGAGCTGTGCTGGGCTCTTCCCATGTACTACTACTGCTCGGTCATCCTCACCAAAGCCCCCTGAGACAGATGCCAGATTAGCCCCATTGTACAGATGAGGAAACTGAGGCACAGAGAGGGTAAAATACATAGATTTCAAGAGGGCGCAGAGCCTCAAAGCCCTCCCTGGCTTGAATGCCTGTGCTAACGGGGCCCTGATCTCTCCCCCCTGCCCTCACTCCAGCCAGAGGAAGCCTCTTCCGTCCCCTCCACGCCTGTGTGTCCCCAGGCAAGACACTGAACCACTCTGTGCCTGTTCCCCCATCTCCAAATGGGAACAAGACAGTCCTCTGTCCCTGTCTGGTGTTTATAAGTATTAAATGAGAAACTGTAAAGCTCTTCAGAGAGTGCCTGGCACTCAACAGACACTCCATAAACGATGACCATCGTGAAAATCACTTCTTGAACGTCTCATACCTTCCCACCTCCGGACCGTTGGACATGCTGGCTCCTCTGCCCGGAGCACCCACTCCCTGCCCCGTTCCCTGGCCTGATGGACCTGGGTCCCCTTCTCCTTCTGCTCTCAGCCCTTCCCTGACCTTTCGTTCACGTATTCCACGCTCACTTCCCCCACGCTCCCACCGTGGCAGCCCACCATGCGGCTGGTCATTTCCTGTTTGCATGCCTGTCTCCGTTCTGTCCCACGTGCTCCTGCAGGCAATACTGCCTGACTCATCTTGGTGTCCCTGCACCCAGCACGGGGCATGGCACTTAGTAGGTTCTCAATAAATGTCGGCTGGTGGAGAGACAGGTGCATGGATAAAGAAGGGAATGAACAGGCGCGTTCAAAGATGAGGTCAGGTGAGCATGGGAGGCAAGAGGCCAAGGAGGCCACGACAGAGACCAGGGCAGGGATGCTGAAGGGAGAGGCCCACACTTCCCGGAAGAGATGGGGTCCACCTGCCACAGGCCGGGAAACAAGCTGGCACGTTTGGGGATCAGTCCCCAAACCCCACCGCCAGAGGAGCCCGGACACCCAGTGACCTCGCCCACCCACCCCTGCCGAGCACCGAGCCCGCCCCTGGCCCGGCCCGCAGCTCCTCACCGAGGACGTCCTTCCTGTGCAGAAAGGACACTTTGCGCATGACTGCGATCCTCGTCTTCTCCAGCCCGTCCCTGGTCCCGCTCTTGGCAGCCTTCATGAGCTGGGTCATCTGAGCAAAGGCAGGGGGGCTCATCAGAGAAGCGGAAGGAGGCCTTGCGACATCTGCCGCCAAGGGCCACCGGCCCTACCCAGGCCTCCCAGCCAGGGCTACAAACATGAGGACCCCGGAGCCCACTGCCTCCCAGGGAGGTGGCAGCAGAGGCCAAGAAAGACAGCAGGGCACTGCCACCCCGAGACCTCCTGGGAAGGGCTGGAAGGGCATTCACGCCCTGGGGGACCTTCCGGGGGGAACCCTCTTTACTAACCCAATTTTTTCCCCTTGGGTGTCAAATTAAGGACATGGTGTGACACTGGGGAAAAGTCTGGAGGCCTGGAGTCCTAGGCCTGGTTCAGATCCCAGCCCTACCGCTCCCCACACGCGTGACTCTGGACAAGGCCCTTAACCTCACTGAGCCTCAGTTTCCTCCCTGAGACCCGCCAGAGCCTGTGAGGACTAAACGGGGTCTGGGAAAGCACGCTGGACAGTAAAAGGAGCTGCACAGATGCCCAAGCTTACTTTAGGAGCAAGTATGAAAGGAGGGGAGCAGCCCCATCCCATCAGTGGAACCCCGGCCCCACCAAGTAGCCGGGTTTCTTACTGAGCCTCTGCCCAGGAACACGGGGGAGGCTGGTGCCTCCACGGAGCTGGGCGTGGCAAGCGAAGCAGACGCGGGGCGCGGGCGGAGGCAGGCCCAGGACGGGGAAGCGGCACCTTGGGCCTGCAAACAGAGCTGCCGTCCCCTAACTCACTGCTTTGTCCCCTCAGCCCCCGGCCCAGTCCTGGAAGCTTCCCTGACGCACAGCCAGTGCTAGAAGTTTCCACGTGGTTGGAAATGCTCCCTGTCTGCGCTGTCCAACGTAGCAACGGCCAGCCACACATCGCCACTGGGCACCTGAGAGCTGGCGGGTACGACTGAGGACCCCGAGTCCTGGTGATCTTTCATTTCAATTAACTTGAATGTAAAGGGCTGGGTGGCTATCATAATGGACGGTACAGTTCTAGGAAACCCCTTCTCCCTGAAGCTCTCTGCTAAAGGTGGGAAGCACTCATCTGGGGGTCCCTGGTCTCTGCTCTCTCTATCACCTTCCTCCAAACACCCGCCCTGGTCCCCAGCATAAGGGCCCGGGCACTGCTCAAGGGTCTGGGTCAGGAAGGCTTGCCGAACACTGAGTGGGCACTGAGGCTGGGGGCAGGGTGGTAACTTTTCAGGAACAAGACGACTTTCTGGAAACAGCCAACAGCCAGCAGGGGAAAGGGAAGTCCCGGGCCCCTCCCTGCCTCTCAATGGTATGATTCTAGAGCAGCAGTTCTTGGCCTTTCGGAGAGGTGGGTGGGGCTGTCATAAACACCTGTGAGAATCTAATGAGAGGGACATTCGACCCCAGACCCCGGAAACCGTACGAAGATGCTCACCCTCCTCTGAGGGGGTCATGACCCCCACAGTGGAAACCTCTGTCCTGGAGCCCAGTTCCTGTCTCAGCAGAAAGCCGTCAGGGGGGCTGTCCTAGGAACCCCCAAAGTGGTCTTTGGGGGAACCATCAGAGACCCTTCCTGGGCCAAAAAAGAGCAACAGGTGAGCACCTGGAAGGCGTCCCTGGGTCAACCTGCCAGCTCCACTGGCTCACAGCACTGAGGACAGAGCCCGATCTGGGGGCCGACTCAGGGGCCGGGCTGGGGAAAGCACCCTGGTCTCGACGCCGCCCTCCACGTGCTCCCTGCTCCTCCCTGGGCCGCAGCTTCCTGAGAAGTTAAATCTGCCCCCACCTCCAGTCACAGGGCTGTCAGAGGGTGTCCGTATACGGGTCTTGCAAACTGTAAAGGGTCTCTCCGCCTCCTCCAGAGAGGCCTCCGGTTCTGAGGAAATGGGCAGGGCTACAGGATAGAGGGCAGGCAGGCTCTGGCTTGCACAGACCGAGGCTTGAAGCCCAGTTCTGCCGCTGGCCGCTGGTGTGGCCACCAGCCAGTTGCCTCACTTGCTGGCCTTACTAACACTGAATGACAGCAGTAAGACAGCGGCCTGCTAGGGCGTCTCAGGGAGAAAACGGTCAGGCACACAAGTAGTAATGGTCACCATCCACTGAACTCTTAGGCTGTGCCCGGCGCGGCCCTAAGCACCTGACGGTTCTGAGCTCACATCCACCCTGGGCGCTGGTACTGTTCATGCCGCCATTTCACAGGCAAGGAAACTGAAGCTCAGAGAGGTCAAGAGGCCTGCCCAGGATCACACAGCGAGGAGGTGGTGGGGCTGGCATTCAAATCCAGGCCTGCAGGCCTGCAAAGCCCACAGCACACAGTAGGTGCTCAATGAATGGAAGCTACTGCTGTCCATATCATCACCCTCATGCAGAGGTCGGAGTCCCATCTGAGAAGAAGGCACTGCGGCTTCTCCTACTGGTCTCCTTACCCCGGACCTCTCTGAACAGCTCCGAGGCGGAGGAACGTCCAACGTCACCAACAAAGTGTAACCCAAACCCACCTGCCACAGTTACCAAATTCATAGATTCCTAGGCCTCGGCCCAGACCTGTAGAATCAGCCTCTCTGGGGGTGGAACTCAGGAATCTGCATTTTTCAAAGCACTCAGGTGATTCTGAGGGCCCTAAAGTTTGAGAGCCCACACAGGAATTCTTATCGACGGTTAAGGTGTCAGTTGAGGGCGGGAAGAGAGAGAGGCGAGGACATGGACAGGAGCGAGCCAGCCTTTGGCATCAGCTCGCGCAGCCGACGAAAGATGCCACCAAGTTCCAGGGCTCGAGGCAGCTCCAGGACTCAGCCCCACCCCTGCAGCCCCAGAAGCGCAGGAAAGGCCCCGGGAGCCCCCAGGACTTGGAGGGACAGACAGACAGTACCTTATAATCGTACTTGTGCTTCAGCTCCTGCATGTCTCTCCCCCCAACTCTTAAAGCCAAGATGTCTCTCTTAGTCCTGGCGCATCGCTCCTTTAGCCTAGTCAGGTCTGGAGAAAGCTGGAGCCCCCAAGCAGCCAGGCAGAAGGACAGCAGGTGAGAGAAGCAGGCGGGGAGGGCAGGAGACAAAACACCGGCAACAGAGTAAAAAGGAGACTCAGGTGAGGTGGTGGGTAGACAACCCGGGGTGGGTGGGATCGGGCACCTGGGGACCACCAGGCCCCTGCCTGGAATGAGCTCCAGCAGCATCCAACCCCAACATGCCACGCAGTTGGGGGCTGGGTCTCTGCAGCTGTGGGGGAGCAGAGGCGGGAGGGGAACAGCCCAGGCCCCCTCCCAGTGCTAAGAGGACAAGGACTGTGTCTCGGTCATCTCCCCATCCCAGGAGCCCAGCATGGGGCTCTCGACATTAAAGGCTCTTGGCAAGTTTCCGAGATGGACGAATGGCAGGTGGACGGATGGGTGGAATGGGTGGGCAAGGGGATAAATGGATGAGTGGGCAAATGCAGAAAGATGGGTGAATGCAGAGAGGGGTGGGTGGATGGATGGACAATAGACGGATGGGTAGAAGGACAGGCTCATAGATGGATGGATAGACAGATAAGTGGATGGATGGGTGAGCAAATGGATACATTTAGTTGGATGACTGTACAGATGGCAAATGGGTAGAGGGATGAAGAGACAGTCAGATGAATTAATAAAAACATGGATGGTTGGACGCAGTGCTGTGCTGGTAAATATTCAATGAGTGGTTCTCCAGGAAAAAGAGCCCCGCCTTATAGTGTTTCCACGGCGTGAGCACGCCCACCACGGCCAATTTCAGACTACCAATGCGACAGCACCGAGCGTGAAGTTGGAAAGGGATGTGCACAATTGGTTCTTGGGCTCTTGTGAGCTAGTTTGAGCTGGCTCGAGCACACCACTGGAGGAACAGAGGGAGGGAGGGATGACGGGCGGGCGACTGGATGGAGGGGTAGGTGGCTGGCTTACATACTATCTGGGAAGATGGACAGACAAATGGACAAACAGACAGACATTCAAATGCATGAACTGTAGGAGCAATAGTGACATTTGGCAAAATATAGAGAAGACCGTGACTAGGATTACTTGTAGAAAAGTAGACAAGCAGAGGAATCAAAAGCACGAGCTTAGAGGCAGGTGGGCCCACATTCAAAGCACTGCTCCCCGCGTACTAGCTGGAAAAGTCTCCTTCCCTCTCTGAGTGACAGCTTCCTCACTGGTAAAGTAGCCATAATAATAACTACCTCATAGTATCACTGAGAAGGTGAAATGGACAAAGCATGTAAACCCCAGAGCTTAGTGAGTGTTCAACAAAATGGAAGCTTTTTTAGATATTAGACTATCTTTCAAATAATAAACGCTCAATATTTGTTGAATGGATGGACAGTTGACTGGATGGATGGATGGATGGATGACGGACGGATGGAGGGATGAACGGATGGACAAGGTACTTCCTTTCCAATCCTATGTGATGTTGAGCTGTGGTTCTACCACCTACTTGCTGTGTGGCCCTCACCACATCATTTAACCTCTCTGAGCTTCTGTCACTTAGGTTCTCTGATCAACAAAATGAGAGTCTTAAAGCAAGTAATACCAACCACTCTAGGGTATTAGGAACAATAAATGAAACTGCTCTGCCAGCTGTACCACACTCAGCTGTACCGCACTGGGCACATATTCACTATTGTTATACAAAGAAGTAGCAGGACAGGGATCCTTCCGAGAGTTACTCAGACGCCCCAGAAAACTGGAGTCCTGTTTCATCTGTAAATAAGACTGACATGATAAATCATAAAGGACCTGGGCCTCTGCCTCTCTCAGGGTCCGAAGAACTAGATTCGAAGGTGAACTGCAGAATTAGCCAGACCAGAGTCAACCAGCTGAGGTCAGAGCTGGCAGTGCTGCCCAGGCCCCTGGCCAACTGGATCACGGTCACCTTCATCATGAAGAGATCACAATCAGAAAGTGGACAGGTTCAGTGGAGCCCATTTCACAGCTGGGAAAAAAAAGAAAAAACCTCCCACTGACCATGGGGGGCGACCAGCAGGCCCTCATTAAGCAGGATCAGGCTCCCGGTCACATCTGGGTCAAGTGCTCCTAAGGAGGTCCCTCTGCAGAGCCTCAGTCATTTTCTTTGGCAAAAATCGGCCCACTGAGGGCTGGCTTGGCCAGACACCTGCAGGAGGGGCTCCACTAGTTCTTTTGCAGCTGCACAGGGTACCAGGCTCCTGTTAGACTCTAAGGACAGGACCCGACTCTGCCCAGATCTCTGCTGCCTGACGCGCCACAGCACAAACTACATACAGGCAAGCAGCGGTGGCACCGGAAACATGCAGCGGCTGCAGCACGACGCGTAGGAGCAGATGCGCCCCAAGCAGCTCAGGAGGGCAAAGCCCTGCAGGTGGGGCTGTGGTGGGGCGGTTCCCAGGCAGAGGTGGGTGTCAGAAGAAATACGCCCCCTACAATCCCTGGGAGCCTGCTGTTCAGGGAACAGGCGGGCCTGGGCCCATGGCCGGAGAAAAGTCCTCATGGTCAGAAATTCCAAGAACTCTGCACGTCGTTTGTCTGCTGAGGAAGAGTCCCAAGCCCCCAGCTTGAGGGTGTGCGGGACACAAGCCCAGGGGCAGCCCCCAGAGACCCCACCCCTGGGGCCAGGCCAAGGTGAGGGCCCGGCCAGCATTTCTCAGAGTGCTCTGTGGGCCCCTTGCATCCCCGGAGGACAGAGCGCTGTTAAAAAGCAGATTGCCAGGCCCCACCCAAACCCCGAACCTGGGAGCGAGGCCACGACATCTGCGATTTCAACCAACTACCCACATGATCCTGATGCCTGTGCAAGTCTGAGGACCACCGTGGGAGAGCCCAAACTCAGCATCCCCACGCGTCCTGCCCTGAGAGGTGCTGACGGTTCCCTCTTGGTCCCCAGCAAGAAGGCATGGGGCTGGGGAAGTGGCCGTGGGAGATTAGGCGGGACAGTCAGAGGCTGAGAACAAGGGCTGGCCCAGGCCTGGAGTCCCACCTGCTCACACCCTCCAGAGCAGGGCTGGGACACACGAGTCCCGCCCCCGCTATGCAGAGGCTACCCAGGGCGAGTGGCACCTTCATAACCAAAGCCCCCTCCCTCCCCTAAACCAGAGCTGCCCCTTCTAAGGACAGAAGCAGGAAGAGGCCTGTTCCTGGGCTTTCGCCTGGGTCATTCCTCCAACTGGGGACACCTTTCCCATCTCCTCTGGCTTCTGCACCCCAGCTCCCAACCCGCCTCTCTTGGAAGGAAGCCTCCTGTGATTAGGCCCATCAAATCCCACCTGTGTCGGGCAGGCGGCCATACGTACACGGGCTTGTGTTCACAGAAAGGCATGTTTTCTTCATTTTTGACAAATCGTTTCATATTTGGTGTCTCCTCCTAGACCACAAAGGTTCCCCAAGCCTGGGCTGTGTCTTCCAGTCCCCCTGTACCCCAACCCACACCCTAACATGTGGACTGGGCACAGAGTAGGTGTCAGAGATGCTTAACTTTTTTTGCTAGCAGGAGGTCAAGGCTGTTTTCCGTGGCACCGCCCACGGGGGCCCAGCCGAGAGGAGAGCAGGGGTTCAGGAGTGACCTGCTCAGCCCCCAGGCTTCCTGAGGACTTGGGGAGCCCTCTTCATCTGAGTAAAGTCCGTCTGAAGACTCTTAGGCGTAGGCGCTGCTCTGGCCTGTGCCCCTCTCCCAGAAGGGATCCCCAAACTCAGAAAGGGGCAGGAGGCACTCAGAAAAACTTGGGAGTTGGAGGCCCCTGTAATCCAGCCTGGGCCTGGGGCCCCTGCCTGGTCCCTGCCCCACCTGCAGGCAGGACTCGCTGACAGGCTGAGCCCACTTGCCTGCCTGTGTCTTTTCAAAAGGACCCTTACAGAGACCCAGTCACCTCTGGTCGGGCAGGGCCTGTCTCTAAGAGGCTGCTCCCATTCAATCCCAAATCTCGGCATGGATAGAACCTGCCTTCTGGTGGCTTCTAGAGAACAAATGGGACAGGCAAGGCTGTCACAGCGAAGGAGGAACCAAACGATCCATCCTCCTCTTGGCTTCCTTGCCTCCTTCCATGAAATCAGCAGAATGAACTCTGTTCCAAGCAGAAACACTGGAAGCAATCAGTGCATGGATGGCCCCTTGAAAGGCTTTGGAAAGAAGCCTCCCAGGCACCTCTGACTTAGCCCGCTTGCTCACCTCCCCAGGGCAGAGGGTTGTGGGAGTCTCGGATCGATCTGAGAAGCATCCTGTGAGGCAGGGAGATCAAGCTGATTTGATCCATGTGTCCACTGTAATCAGTTAGTTAGGCTGCCCAAGCACTGTGTTCAGGAGGATTCTGAAGCCAGATCTGAGCCCGTGAGCATCGTCATCAATTGCCGGGTCTGCCACAGGCCTGGAGCATGGGCAACACCTGTGCCAGGCACTAACCACGCCCATCCTAGGTTTAGGGCTCTCCACGGCCAATCAGCAATGTGGGTGGGTCACTTCCTGTCTCGGGATTACATGGGCCACTTCTCCCTCTCTCACCATACATCCCTGGGAATCACTGAGGTTTAGGTACGAGTCTCAGGCCTGGCCCTCACCACCCCACTCGCAGGTGCCTTGGCTGGGGTGAGAGACGCCCTCCCCCTCACCTTGGGCTGGAAGGACACTCGGTGCTTGGCGGGCTCTGCCTCCGGCTTGGCCTCCTCCCCGGAGTCCTCGCTGTAGCTCTCAAACTCACTGGAGCTCCAGCCTAGGTCCTCCGTCTCCCGGGGTGCCCCGTCCCGGCGCACATCCTCGTAGAGCAGCTTCCTCTCTGCCCCTGCTGGCCAAGAGACAGGGCTGGTGAGCCGAGGCCCTGAGGCCAAACCCACCAGCCCCAATTTCTGAACCCAGGCGGGCAGGTGGGGGCGTGGGTCAAGGTGGACCTTCAGCTCCACTTCCTGGTCCATAAGCAGGAGGCAGTGAGAACACGACATCCACCCCGCAGAGTGAGGAGGACGTGAAAAACGCAGAGAAGCACAAGAAATGTGCCTGGCACACACCGACTCAACAACTTCCCCTATCCACACCACCTTGCTAGGATCGGAATGCTCATTTGGGGTTTCTGTGGCTTTTTCTTTTTTCTTTTTTTTTTTTTTTTTGCAGTACGCGGGCCTCTCACTGCTCTGGCCTCTCCCGTTGCGGAGCACAGGCTCCAGGCGCGCAGGCTCAGCGGCCATGGCTCACGGGTCCAGCCGCTCCGCGGCATGTGGGATCTTCCCGGACCAGGGCACGAACCCGTTTCCCCTGCATCGGCAGGCGGACTCTCAACCACTGCGCCACCGGGGAAGCCCTTCTGTGGCATTTTTTAGAGGAAAAGAGAAGCCCTAAGACCAAGCCCTGACTCAGGCCCTCAGCTCTGGCCTCAGCATGCTAGGGGGGAAAATGAAGATGGTCCGGGGCATTGAATGACTCAGATCCCTCACCCCAAATCTGAGTTCCCCGTGAGGGTCCAGGACGGTCCAGTAGGGGGCGCGCCTGGGCCAGCGTCCAGGAATGTTCCCTTTTCTTCCCCAGCCCCACAGGAAATGCCTTGAACTGGAAACTGGGGGACAGAGACCTGACAGTCCACTGGCCCGGAGGGACAGGTGCCACCAGGGCCGGGCACTCTCGGGGTCCCTGTCAACTCGGGTTTGAGATGCTGTTTCTAGACTGAGGTGGGAAAGCCAGTTTGCCGGGCCCAGAACACGGGGTCCCAGCCCTGGCCCCAGCTCCACCTCTGGGAGCTCTCGGCCTCACCTTCACCTCTGAGCTTCACTTCCTGGGCTGTTACCTGGAGAATAACTGAACTGCAGGCCTCACAAAAGTAAGGGCAGACTCCAAAAAAGTGCGCGAAGGTGAAAATGCTTTTCATTAACACAGACAAAATATGGCACTGAGATGGGTTTAAAAAAAAAAATCTGCTCAGAAACCACGCATTCTAAAGAGAAGAGAACTTTGGTTATTGGAGCCTCTCTATAAAATGGGGATAATAAGCTGAAAGCTGGAGTAAATATAATATTTGCACAGAAAGCTCTTAGCCAAGAGCCTGGTACATGGCAGGCGCTCACCAAAGAGCAGCTGATCCTTACTCGCGGGGGCTCTGGGTGGGCTTGAAGGTCTCCACACTGACCCCAAGCCTCCATCTCCCCCGCACGGGAAAGCCGGGCGGGTGAGGGGTCGGGGAAGATTTTCAGCCAAAGAGCAAAACAGACACACTGGGGCTTAGCTGGAGACTCAGGTCCCAGGATCAGGAGGAAGCATGGGGTTTTTTTCAGCAAAAGATGATAGTGACTAACATCTGCAGGGAGTAGAGCAGCTGGTGACCAGGCTGTGACCTTCACAAGGCTGGGCTGACTGTCCTGTTACTGCAGTGGAGGCCCCACAACCCGTGAGTCAAGGGGCAGAGCCCAGTTTCTTGGGGCTGCCCCAGGGGAAGAACCACGTGACATCTACTTCCCCTAACTTCTGGCCCCGCCCACCTAATCTACATGCCAGATTCTCCCAGCAACCCTGTGGGGCCGGAAACTACCACCGCCTCCCATCAGACAGATGAGAAAACGGGGCCCAGAGAAGACGTGTCCTTGCCCGAAGTCAGGCAGTGAGTGGGGAGGGGGCCCCATCCACTCACCGTGCTGCCTTCCACAGAGGCACCACCGTGCTGACGACCCCCTGGGCTCATCCAGAAATACTCTCTCCAGTAGAGACACTCACCAGATTCCTAAGCCTTCAGAGGCCTCACAGTGGTCTGGTCCCCGCTGCCCCCCCTCCCTCCGTCTCCTGGGGCCACGGGCTTCACTAATGCTCAGGAACATGGCTCCCCTTTCAAAGCACTTACCACCACCCACTCAGTGCTCTACATCCACTATCTCACGGCATCCTCCCCACAACCCAAGGAGGAAGCTAGCATTGCCCAGTTTTACAGATGCATCGACTGAGGCCAGAGAGATTTAACCAGAAGTTTTGCGGCGTGACCCTCCCCCAAGTCCTGTGAGGTCAGGACGATATTCTGATTTCATACGAAGAAGCCAAGGCCCAAAGCACAGAGCGCTGTGCCCTAATTAATGGCAGAGCCGGGATGAAAGCCCGAGGCTGTGCGGGTCCACTGGCCTGTGCGGCTGCACCTCAGTAGACAACCTCCACACTGAGCGCCGGCTGAGCCCACAGGCCGTGTGGGTCAGTGAGGGGCCCTGGCATGTGTGATGTTCACAGTGCTCCTTGTGGGGTGCACCTGCTGAGGGCTGGGCCCAGCCTCGCCAACTCAACCCTCCCACAGCCCCGAGAGAGAGTGGGGGGTCTCAGGGCAGGAGTCCTGGTCCTCAGTCGGCAGGCTCAACTGGCTCCCAGGCCACCTGCTCTTGCCCACCTCAGGGTAAACCACAGGACATGCCATATCCCCACACCCTGGGGACCCGAGGGTGCCCAGTGAAGACTGTGACCAAGTGATTAGTGGCTTCATTGGATTCAGGTGGGAGAACAGCCCAAAGGGGTCAAATAATGGCCTCAGGCCACTCCGATCTCCTGGCTCTGGGACTTCATCCAGCCACCCTTTCCCACTCTCCCGGATTCACATGAGCTACAAGCAGGAATGGGTTCCAGGCTCCTCCAGGGCTTGTTCGATGGATGGGTGGATCACGGGCCCACCCGCCCTGCTCCTGGGACAGGTGTCAGGAGTGTGCCCCCGGGGAACGTCAGGCCTCGTCATGTTGTCTGTGTGTCTCTCCCGTTGGACTATATGCTGCCCCAGGATGGTTACACTCGCCCCTGTCAGACTAGGAGCTCCACAAATGCAGGGGCTGTTTCCCCCACTAGACGGGGAGGCCCTGAAGACAGGCAGAACAGTGTTGTAGAAAAAGCAGAGTCCAGCAGATGTCTATTCAAATTCTGGCTGTGTGATCTGGGGCTGGTGGCTTAACCTCTCTGATGTGACTGTCAACTGGAGCCGTAGGCCCTGCCCTACCGACCTCACAGGGTTGACTGAATAGGGGAAGCAAATGCGTTTCATCTTTCATAAAATGCCACCCAAGTCCTTTGTGGGGGGGGGGGGACAGAGCACTGGACTTGGAGTCAGAATGACCCAGGTTCGAATCCCAGCTCTGCCTCTACAGTTTCCTTCTCTGAAGAATAAGGAAGTAATACCTTAAGTCAAAGTTTCAAAGCAGATTACAGGAGATAAACCATGAAGAGCAGCTGGCAAAACGTGTTTAAGCAAAGACGGCTCTTACTGTGAATGGATATTAAATATCCCTCGTCCCTGGGTAGTCCTCCTTCCAGCTAGATGAGTATGTGGGCCCAGTTCCAGCAGCACTCACCCTCCTCCACCCTGTTTCTCCTCTGCGGCCCCGATCTCCCCGGCAGGGCCCAGGCTTTCCCAGGCTTTCTCTGCTTCACCATTCAGCAAGTCTGGACTATTAACCCATTTTCAGGAGGAATGGAGGCTTGGAAAAGTGAGTGATTTGCCTGGGGACCCACAGCCCAGCATGCCCCTGCCCCTGAAGCCCTAATCCCTGCGCTTGAAGCGTTAACCCCTCCCCATGAAGCCCTAACCCCTCCCCATGGAGCCCTAACCCCGCCCCATGAAGCCCTAACCCCGCCCTAGCCCCAGCCTGGCCACGCCCTCAGCCATCTCCTGACTCTCCTGGGAAGACGGCCGTGGTTTTTAAAAGCAAGAAGGAGGGGCCATGGACTGGGTGGGGGCCGGGGAGGAAGTGGAAGGAGAGACCCTCCCCAGGCCCCGCCCCCCGCCGCCCCTCCCACCCCTCCTCTGTCCGGAGAGAAGCGGGACTCCTGAAAGAGGCTTTACCGGGTTGATGGGCGTCCAGGTTCTCGCAGGGGACGTCGTCGTAAATCACATCTTCTTCCAGGGCGGGGAAAGTAAACCGGTCGACTGGGAGAGAAGGGAGAGGAAAAGAGCACGAAGGAGGCTGTGGTGGCCCAGGGCGGCTGCCAGACTGACAGCAGGACTGCACGAGCTGGCAGCTCCCTCCGCCCGCCCGCCCGCCCGCACCCCCACGGCTCATCTGGGCCAGCATCCTGCAGCTCAGCCCCTGGGGAGCCCTAGCCAGCCACTGCTCTAAGAGGACGCAGCTTCCGCTGGCGGCACATGCCCCCTGCCGCCCCGACACCTGCAGGCCTGCCCCTCTGACTGATGGCACCTGCAGGGAGCATGAAGCAAACCCAGTACCTGTGCCCCAGGGCCCGGAAGCCTCTTCAGCCGCCCAGACCCCCAGGACTACCCCAAAAGGAGTCACCCCCCACGCAGAGGCGGGGGAGGGCAAGGCAGCCATATCTAATGAGCACAGGATACGGCAGGGAGTGGGGGAATGGATTTGGAGAGTGGGGTTAAGGAGAGTCCCCCAAAACTCAGCCAGCGGGGCCCTGATTGGTAAAAAATTCTGCAAATGAGCACATCACTCCCCTAACATTTTGCTGGGTGTGCTATGAGCAGGGCAGAGAGCACATCCTGCCCATGTTAGCAGCTCCTGAGCTGGAATATTTAAAGAGGTCTCCCCCCGATAACTGTGTGCCCAATCTCTGCCCTCTCTAGGGGCATGTGGCCCCAGCAGAGCGAGGGTTTGGGAAACCAGTCCCCACCCCTGATGGTAGCCTGTCCTCACCCCACAGGCCTTCCAGGAAGACAGAGGACCAGATGGACTCTGAAGTCCCCGTTCCTAACTGTGTTGCTCCCTGCGGTCCCAGGGCCCCCAGAGCCCTATAGGAGCCTCACCGCCCCCTCCCCACTGACACAGATTCTGCCTCCCACATGGTTCAGACCTGCCCGCCTCTCTCCAGGTCCCTGGCTCCAGCCATCAGCCTCCCTCCCCCGGACAGCCTCCAGCCCACCACCTTGTCTCAGAGCATCAGTGATGGGACTGAAGTGCAGACGTGGTCTCATGGCTTCCCCTTGGCCTCTTATGGCTCACTGTCACTTTGGGGAAAGCACGGCCTCCGGGGGCACCCCACACACACTCTAGGAGGAACTGGGGAGATGGCAGCCTCACCTGGCCCTGCTCACCCCTTAGACCCTCCCCTCCACCACACCAAGGCTCACTGCTTCCGAGGTGCCAGGCATCCCCTCGCCCTTGGGCTCCGGCACAGGTTGCCCTCTCAGCCTAGACACTCTTGCCCGGAGCCCTGCTCCTTCACTCTCTGCCTCAGGACTCGTGGGCTCTCCCAACTCCCACCTCCCCATCCTAGCACCTGCTCTCTGCATGGTAACCGCCTGCCTATGTGTCTGGTTCTGCTGCCAGAGGGACCTCGTCTTGGTCACCAGTGTACACCCACCACCCAGATCACCCTGTAGGAGCTTTGGAAGTATTTGGGGGACAGATGAGCAGCTGAATGTGTGATCTACTCCTGGATCACGACTCACATCAGGTGGCAAAGGGGGGCAACTCTCAAGGGTGGGCAGTGGCCAGTCCACCTCAGAGCTGCACCAAGCCCACAGCAGCCATGCAGCAAGGACAACAAGCCCACATCAGCTCTCTCAGCCTAGAGAAGGGGAGGCTATCCTGACACCAACCTCCTGGGGCTGAGACCTGGGGGGCGGGCGGCGTGGGGGGCGAACGCGGGGGACTTACTGCGACGGGAGCTCTTCCGTCTCCAGCTGGAGTGCCGGACCCCAGAGAAAGCTGTGTCCACGGCATCCCCATTGCTCACCACGGCCGGCTCCCTGCGGGCGGAGAAGCAGGGCCAGTGAGCCAGGAGGATGGGACAGCTGGTTCCTTGAAGTGTCAGACAGTCCCTCACCAGGTGACAGGGCCACTTGACCCCAAGGCCGAGCTGGGGAGGCCACAGCTGGGTTGGCCTTGGACAAGCCCCGTCCCCTCTTGGTTTCCTCGCCTCTAGAAGGCACTGTAAGGCCGACCTGCTGCTTCACAAGAGCATAAAGGTCAAACGTATTCACGGTGATAAGTGATAAGGATCAGATGTTCCTCAGGCCAGGGCACCTGTCTCTCCTCCTCCAGGGCAGACTCCATCTCCCCAGTCTCCACATGCAAGATGGAGGAGAGGACCGGGGGGCCTTGCATCTGAGAGACGAGGACCTGCGAAGCTTCACAAGACCATGCAGAAGGCAGGGCTTAACTCCCACACGCTTGAGGATGGGCTGGACCAGAGACACGCTTCCCAGGAGCAGAGAAGCAAAGGGAAAGCAGTGGAGAAACAGCAGACACCACCTTAACCAAGCGGTCAAGTGAGCAAAACCCAGTGCCGTCACTCAGGCATCATGTACTCCAGATACGACGTGATGAGAAGGGTGCTCACCTCTGTGGGATTCTTACCCCAAGCCCATAACCCCCGGCTAATCATGAGAAAAACACCAAACAAACCCAGATGGGGGAACGTGCTATAAAACACCTGCCCACTACTCCTCAATGATCATGAAAAACAAAACTGAGGAACTGTCACAGAGCAGAGCAGTGGAAATGACAACTGAATGCCACGTGGGTCCTGGATGGGATCCCGGGACAGAAAAGGAACATAAGCAGAAAAACTGATGAAATGCAGGTAAAGTCAGGAGTTCAGAGAATGGTAACGTACCAACGCTGGTTTCTTAGTTTTGATAAATATCCCGTGGTCGTGTAAGATGCGAACAATGGGGAGAACAGGATGAGGTGGTGTATGGAACTCTACGTGCTACCTTTACAACGTCCCTGCAAATCTAAAACTATCCCAAAGTGAAAGGTTTTAGTGTTTTTTTTAAGCCCATGCTCAAAAAAAAAAAGCCACATCTGGCAACCCAGAGGGTAGAGGCCTTCTACTGTCCAAGGCAGCAGCCACTGTTACGAAGAATTGACTTGAACTTGCCAGCACGCAAGCCCTTAACAGAGGAGGAGGAGAGGGAGGGGGAGGGGAAGGGGGAGATGACAACCGGAAGTGCAGGGAGAGGGGATGGAGGAGAGTGAAGTGTGGAACACCTCCTGTGAGCAGGCCCTTGGCCTCGCCTTCCCAGTAGCACTGACAGGTAGATCCTGGCATCCTTCCCACTCCGCCAGGTGGCGGGCAGAGGAACCTGCCCAAGGTCACCGGCCTGAGAGTGGCAGAGCCGGACGGTGAAGCCAGCCTGCTGGGCCCCTAAGCTGGGCTCTCAGGACTGCGTCTCAGGTAACAGAGCAAGGACGGCTGTGACGGCGGAAACATGCCACGTCTGTGCTGTCCAGTGAGCCACGCGTGGCTACGGGGCACTTGGAAGGTGGCTAATGGAACTCGTGTGTCTAAGGAACTTAACTTTTCATTTTAGGTCATTTAATTTTAAATAGCCACATGTGGCTAGCAGCCCCCGAACAGGACAACGCAGGCCGAAGCCACCAGCACCATTGGAGAAGCAAGACTCAGCTCCGGTTTTACTGCCAGAAGTCAGCAGTGTCGCCTGGGGGGGAGGGGCGCGTTTCAGTCCTGGGGTAACGCTTTCCATCAGCGGGAAGTTAAGGCCAAGAGGGGACAGGGCTGGTCTGGACCAGGAGGGGTGCTGGGCTGGAGCCACCTGAGCCCCAATCCCTAACGGCGCTTCCCTGAGTCATCACCTTCTCAACCTGGAGGCGGCTTCAAGGTGCTGAGTGCAGCCGCTCAGAAATGCTCAGACAGAACCGAATCATTGCAGCGGGAGCTGACGAGACTTCGGCAGAATTTGGTTTTAAAGTTTGCTTTGCTACGTTAACCGTGACAACTGGTGACTCCTGGAAGAACGCGCCAGGTGCCGCTTGCTGTACTTTACCTATATTTGCATATTTCACTACACAAGAGCCCACGTGAGGTAGGCAGTGTCGTCCTCATTCTAAGATGGGGAAACTAAGGCTCACGAAGTCTTGATGACTGACTCTACTGAAGTCCCTCGGCTCGTCAGAGGGAGCTGGGATCTGCAGCCCAGGCTGTCCGCCTGCAGAGTCTGCTCCTTCCACCAGACCATGTGGAAGCAGGGAGCCCGCATTCAAACATTCACCGACATCACAGACTCGCTGTGTCACGACATCACTGCACCTCGCCTGACTGCTCTCCCAACCATGTTTTTAAAAAGGAAAGAGAGGGCTTCCCTGGTGGCGCAGTGGCTGAGAGTCCGCCTGCCGATGCAGGGGGCATGGGTTCGTGCCCCGGTCCGGGAAGATCCCACATGCCGCGGAGCGGCTGGGCCCGTGAGCCATGGCCGCTGACCCTGCGCGTCCGGGCCTGTGCTCCGCAACGGGAGAGGCCACAACAGTGAGAGGCCTGCGTACCACAAAAAAAAAAAAAACAAAGGAAAGAGAGAAAGAGCTCTTGGCATAGTCAGAGATGCATGATCGAGTCTCTGTCCAGGAGAAATCGTGACACCAGCTCCAAGGCTGAGGTGCACTTCGACCAGTGAACACCCCAGAAGGTCCCGGGTGACCTCTGAAGGTCACATGGAGGCGGGATGGGCATTTGGGGGTAAAGGTCAGACAGCTTTAGAAGGGATCTGTAACTGCTACGACATGCTAAAAGCCAGGATGGGGCTGAAAATATGAGCCTCTGGTTTGCACGTTACCAAAACACAGTGAACTTATTTTTTCATTGTATTTCATTTTGAACAGCCACACGTGGCTAGTGGCCGCCGAACAGGACAGCGTGGGTTTAAGCCACCGGCACGACTGGAGAAGCTGGTGGGCTCGTGCTTCTGTTGAGCAGCCATCGAGGTGCTGGTCCTGGCCTCCTGGGCGGGGGAGCAGGGGTCACACAGCAGAGCAGTGACCTTTATGCCCACCCTGAGTGCCTCAATGGCTGAGGCAAGCGGAGACACCAGGGGCCCCAAAGGAGGGAAGAGGCCAGTGCCCGTACATGGACAGGTCTTCCCGCGCTTGGTTGGAGACCACCAGCATCCCTGCCCTGCACTTTGCTGGTATCTTCTCTGCGCCCAGCCCTAGGCAGAGTGCTTGAGGACAAGTGTGTGTCTCATTGTGACCATTTTACAGATGAGGAAAGCGAGGTTCAGAATTGGCAAGTACCTTGCCCCAAATCACCTGGCCAGCAAGTGGCCGAGTCGCACTTTGCCTGCAAAGCCTTGCTCTTGACACCAACTCTGCTGCCCTCAGACCAGAGCAGGTGTTCCCCAGGCAGATGGGAGGGGGAAGAGCCTCCCAGGCCAGGGAAGCAGTGGGCATGGCAAGAAATGAGGCTGGGGATGCCTCCTCCCTCCCTGGCCCTTCTAGCTGCCTGCCAAGGCCACTGACCCACCCTGAGCCCACCCAGAGGCAGCCTCTCCCAGCTGCTGCCTGGCTGGAAAATCTAATTCTCCTTGTGAGCAAACACTCCTGGAGCCGCCCCAAAGGTTTCAGATAATAAAAGAGCCATAAAAAAGCAATAAGAGGCCAATTATCTCGCCCTTATCTGAGCTTCCTGCACTTCTAATGCCTCTCAGCTTGCACAGGCAAGAAAGGCCAGCCACTAAGATGACACCGTCTTACAAAGTGAGGCCACCGCCACTCCACTCGAATGCCAAGAAAAGGAGCCAAGTCCGCGGAGAGGAACAGAGAACAAGAACCTGGGCAAAGAAGAGGAGGCCCCCCATGACAGCGTTCACCGACCAGACCGAGGTCAAGTACACCAGGAGCCCACCACAGAGCTCAAAGCACCTTCTGAGCCCACCTCCTCTCTCTCCAGGGACACGCCGGGGACAAGAGGGGAAGTGAGTGTCCTGTGACAGCAGGGACCTGCTCTGGCCTGGTCACCCCATTCCGTCAGCCCCTTCACACGAGGACACTCAGTGATGATGGATGCCCCGCTCCCCGGCCTCTTTTAAAGACAAGAAGCCCCACCCTGAGAATGGCGGGCCCGGTTGCTCAGCAGATTCCACAAGGTCCCTTCCCAGAGGCTACACAGTGTGAGTTATCAGAGAGAAGACCCCCCAAACCAGTATGGTCAGAGGATCCCTGGCTGGCTGGGTGGCTGTGTGTGTGTGTGTGTGTGTGTGTGTGTGTGTGCGTGCGTGTGCGTGTGTGTGTGTGTGTGTGTGTGTTCACGCGCGCGCGCACACGGTATTCCTGATGCCTTTTCCAGGACAAGGTTTGAAAAATATGAAAGAGGAAAGAATTCCACCTTTGGGAATTGAAAGGACCAAAATAACATGAGCCTTATAAGGTCTTGAGTAAAACCCAATCTGCAGCAGACCGAGGGCTGGGACAGCAGGGCTTGCCCAGGATGGCCCGACTCAAGAGTATCACTCCCCTCAAGAAATTCCCCAGCAGCACCACTACCACTATCCCTAAATCCAAGAGACACAAAAGAAAGGCAAAAACATCAAGCCCGGATTAAGCCTGCTGCCAGTTTTCTTTTCAGCCCTGGCCACTTTCTAGTTCATATAGCATGTTAAAGCCAGAAAGGGGGCAGGGGGGAGGGATAAAATGGGAGACTGGGATTGACATATACACACTACTATATATAGAATAGATACTTAATAAGGACCTACTGTATAGCACAGGGAACTCTACTCAATACTCTGTAATGACCTATATGGGAAAAGAATCTTAAAAAGAGTAGATATATGTATATGTGTAACTGATTCACTTTGCTATACAACTGAAACTAACACAACATTATAAATCAACCGTACTCTAATAAGGATTTAAAAAAAAAAAAAAAGAAGGACATCCCTGGTGGTCCAGTAGTGAAGACTCTGCGCTTCCACTGAGGAGGCACAGGTTCGATCCCTGGTCGGGGAAGTTC